GGGGGGAGGGGGGAAAAGGGAGACGGGGAGGGAAATGGGAGGCGGGGAGGAGGCGGAAATCTTTTTTTTTTCAATAAAAAAATTACATTTAAAAAAAAAAAGAAAGCATTTCCCTTTTTCTTCCCCTTTCTGCCTGTCTTGAAGTCACGGGGATTGGGAGAACTAGAGGGGCTGCCCTTTCCTTCACCTGTGAACATCAAGTAAACTGATAAATGCTGTCCTACAGCATCAGCCACAGAGGCCATTCTTGATTGACTGTGTAATCCCACAAACAAACACAGTGTTTTCTCTTAAAGTTTCTGGGAAGGACTTGGCACACTTCAGGAATGGCAGAAGTGAGGAGAGCACAGAGGAAAGGTGGTGAGGACAGTGAAGGAATGTGAGGACTTCCCTTTTCTTAAGCATAAACAGGTGGCTATTGGCGCAGCTGACACCCGCAACAGATGGCCAGATCCACTACAGTGAGGTCAGGGTTGAAGAGAGCATCAGGAAGGAGCTGTCTTTGTTTACAGCTGTGTCAAGTGTGAGACCCAGAAGGTGAAAGCACAGCTGGATCTGTGTTCTTGTAGGAAGGAAGCAGACAGCTAAGCACTCATTAGACCTATGACTTCAGACACTCAAAAGGTCCAGTTATTGCCTGCTGTGAGCTTGTCCACCTCAGTTCCCTTTGATATATATAGTCTGTTGAGCTGTGTGAGCTTTTCCCCTGGGTGAGTCATGGGCAGGATTCTTGAGCCTGTACGATTTCACGTCATTGGCCATTGGGCTGTCTCCCCAACTTTCAGATGAGAATGGGTAAACTTTGGCTGCTGAATCTGCTATCAACTCTAATTCCTTAAAAAATAACTGTTATCTTACAGCTGGCTCTTTTTTTAAAAAAAAAAAAAGAAATCTATTATGTGTCCTTCTTCTCTTTCACTGGTATTAAAAATTAAAACACTTTATATACTACATATATATTATCTTTATATAACATTTTAAAAGACCGTACCCTCTATTATAGTCACTAATCATGTGGAATGATGATTCAGATTATGTTCCAGGAGCAAAGCTCAATGTTCACATTTGTCGTGGGTTAAAAATCTTTGCCTTACACTCCGCACTTATTTTATCTTGGTCATGGCAAAAATGGGTCAAATGAACTTCTGGTTGCAGTAAGATAAAAATGCTTGGTATAAGTGCTGAGAGGCACTGACTCTGTGCAAATCAACCAGTGGTCATCAACCTGAGTCGGAATTTCTTGGCCCTGCAGCACAGCGTGTTAGCATAAACATCAGAGGAAATGGAAGTGTAAATCTGACTGCTGCCTTCTTCATTTTGGTCTGATTTTGCTACAGGAAAAGGAAGGAGAAAGGAAAGGAAGGAAGAAGAAAAGGAAGGAAGGAAGGAAGGAAGGAAGGAAGGAAGGAAGGAAGGAAGGAAGGAAGGAAAGAATATGGGAGGGAGGAAGGAATGAAGGATGCTGAGGAAGAAAAACCACTCAAATATAACACACATGTCCAGGACGTGAAGGACTCTTAACTCACAGCCCTGGGGAGAGGAGAAATACTCTAAAATGATGTGAATCTCTGTATGTCTGGAGGACCTTACTAGAGGCCTCCCCTTTTCTTCTCTCTCCCCCCTGTATAACTTCATCTTCTTTGTACTCTTGTAATATGAAGTATGTTTAGGGTTCCAGAAAATATGTTTGCATTTTATTCTAGTTTAATCCATATGTTACTTTATATATGGATTTATCTTATATACTTTATTATATACTTTTTAATAAAATTAGTGTGTCTCTGGCTTTATCTTAAGAAGAGATGGGTTTTGTTGAGAACAGATTCCTTATCATCCACCACATGGCTCAACACAGCTATTGGTAACACAGCAGTGTTTTCTGAGTGCTGAAACAGAGTCCTTGCAATAATAAACCTCATTGTATTCTTCAGGAAAGCACTAAACACAAACTTTCAAGTTTACAATGGTGGACACTGTATTGATAATTAATCATTCAATTTCTCAGGAAAACAATAAGTCCTATATTAATAGAAAATCTTAGACTAATGTTGCCCCTTTATTTATTTGACTGGGTTAACAGGTACAAGGGAAATTCTGTGAGCTCAAATTCTCTAGTCTCTTAAAGTGATGGTGTGCCTCTCAGATACTCAAGATTATCCAACTGCATAGTCAAGGATGACATATCTCTTCATCTGTCTTCTTCTACTATTTTAAACCATCCATTTGAAGTATTTGGTAATTTTCACCTTTTTTCCTGCTTTGAAATATACTGGCTCCAACTTGCTCCCTCCTAAGGACTGTGTTTGATCTTGTGAGTTTCTTGCTAATGTTACACTCAGAAAAAGAACCAAGGAATGAAAGAACCGGCACATATATGGGCTCTCAACTCAGTAGACAAATTGTTGGCAAACCGAACAATGTGTTAGTATGTGTCAACTGACGACCTTGTCAATTGCAGAAAGAATGACATTAGATCTCACACTGAGACTTAAGGTTTATGCAAAGCCAGATGCATTTCTAAATTCTCCACTTTAGTTTGAGAAACAAAGAAACAGTAGAGAAAACACAGTTCCCAATGAATTGAATATGCAGGCCTTTGAAAAGGAGAGAAGAGTCTTACTTACTTAGAAGCAACTCGGAAGTATTTCTGGATGAAATAAAAGGCGACACCAAGGGGCACCAGGGCGACAAGGAACACAGGCGTGGCATAGGAGATCATCCCGATAGCCGACAAGCAGAGCAGGGTGGAGCGAGTCAGCGATTCCAAGGTTGGAGGGATGTGCTGTGGAGGATATTTAAAGGACAACCTTTTCAGCGCATGCACAATATCCATAACAGTATAATAAAAAAACACTTCTATATTAATGTTAAGTAATACGGGCTTCCAAACCAGCCTCTAGGAATGGTCACTGTAAATAATTTTGCATGCCCCCATAGTTAAGTAGCTGTATCTATTGACATAGCATCACATGTTGTTCACCTACTTACCTTGGATAGTTTATATAAACGGCTATACTAGAAATCTTTTTCACCCTGTCTTTGTTTTGCTTTACCAGGATAGACTAGAGGCATTTCCTTGTCAGTGGTTTCAAACACTCCTTGTTATACACTATCTAAAACTCATCTGCTCCTCCACTGTAAAAGCCCAGAAGTTGTTTTTCCTGTAGCAAACTTGTGTCCTTTGGGCATCTTTCATTGTATTACTTGCCCTTTCCATTTTTAATTGAGATGCTGTTCATATATTGCGGTGTTTATCTTCTTTCTTTTACAATTTAAATTTGTCTTTGGTGCTTTAGTCTCAATCAAAGTTTATTTTTTTGTACAGTTATTTCTATTTGTCTTTTTCTTATTTTCATGCTATGTTCTGTCCTACATCAAAAGATCTTTTGCAGTTCATAGTTCCAAAACTATCCAGTTATCTTTTATTTCACCATGTCATGATTTTATTTGGCCATCTTTATTCTATAGTCATATTGATTTATATTTTATAGATAATTCTCTCAACATCTTCTAGTTTAAAAATGAATGATTCTCCCAGATTCCAGATGCCACATTTACCTTGTGTTAAATTTCTGTGTGTACTAACGTGTGTGTGTGCATGTGAGCATGTGTGAGTTGGTAGGAGTGCCCATAAGTGAACATATGGCAGCTTGAGGTCAGAACTGGGCATCTTCTATAATAATTATCCACTTTATTTTTGGGTCATGGTTCTCAGTGAACCTGGGGATGGTGTTTTTGCCACAGTGGCTGACTAGCAAGGCCCTGGCATCTACCTGACTTGCTGCAAGAATTTTCCATGCAGAAAACCATACATACAGTTTCAAAATTAAAAATAATAAGACCTAAAAAATGAGATGGGGAGCATTGAAGAACATGCCTATGTCAACCTCTGACTAACACATACTCACATACACACGGAAGTATGCATGGGTACTTATATGTCAAGTGCAGACACTCACACAAGCATGTGCATACAACATACATGAACATACCAACAGAAATTCTTATCCTGGAAATCATTTTTTTTCATTTTGATAGGAGATCAAATGAATCCTAACTTAAATTTTAGCAATTCTTGACATCAAGAATCCTGTTTGGAATGCTGTTTAGTTTACACTGAGGAATTTATCAGAGTCTCACCTGGTCAATGATATTAGTATCTGCAGAAAACCGATTGAGAATCAGTCCCAGGGGTGTGGTATCAAAGAACCTAGGTAAGGAATAGATAGAAGAGTATGGTGATGTGGAGTATCTAACCAGAAGCACCGCTGAGGGACAAGTAGAGTCCTGAAAATGACTAATTCTTTCTTTAATCTTCCACATTTCAATTTTAAATGGATGTTTTTATTACTACATTCATAGGGGCAAGAGATTACTACTTTTTCTTTTACCTTATTGGTCCTAGGATTATCTTATTCAGGAGATTGTAGTGGAGGTTCTTGGCAGCTGTGAGACCCATCCATTCTACCGTGAGGGAGGTGACAAGGCAAAGGAAGATGCCGACTCCGCAGAGAATGCTAAATCCAGCCACGTAGAACGTCTAGGAAGAACCAACGTGGGACGATGACATGAAATGATTACCTGGGCTTTTCCTAACTAGAAAATTCATGAAGCATCAAAATCAGACAGATTGTCGATATTCTTATCTTGCTTGCATTTAGAGGGCTGAAGACGAGTGGTGGGTACTCAGAGCAGGGATCCCTTTCAGGTCAGTCCCACAGGCCAGGCAGCCCCTGCTTGCTTTTTTCACCTGTAAGGTCTGTCCTAATGACTGCAGGGTCAATGTAACTTTCAAGTTGGGGACAGACTCTTGGATTTCGATACTGTCAAGCTCATTCTTCCCATGATCGCTCAGCATACTGATCGAGGACTGAAAATCATGAGAAGAACAGAATCTCCTTTACATGTGTTTAGCATGTACTATAGTAGCATATGTTACATACGTTACATGTAAAATAGATTGAACTTCCTGAATCTGTATCTAATTATTATGACTAAATGCTTCTTAGAAAAACAGACCTGGAAGCTGGGTGTGGTGGCACACATCTTTAATCCGAGCACTCAGGAGGCAGAGGCAGGTGAGTTCGAGGTCAGCCTGGTCTACAAAGGAAGTTCCAGGACAGTCAGAGCTGTTACACAGATAAACCCTGTCTCGAAAAACAAAACAAAACAATGAAACAACAACAACAAAGAAAAACCCCAGGGCTGGAGAGATGGTCCCACAGTTAAGAGTACTTACTCCTTTTCCAGAGCACCTGTATTTAGTTCCCAGAACCCACATTGGGTGGTTCACGGCTGCCTATGGCTCTAACTCTAGGGGTTCTGGCACCTTTTCCTGGCATCAATGGGCACTGCCTTCATGTGCAATACCCACACACAGACACATAGATATAATACATAAATATGTAATAAGTAAAAATAATGTGAGCAAAGCAGGTATTTAAAATGATAAGAACAGTAAGAGCCATGTTTTCCATTATTGGCAGTTTGCCCTGTTTTATGTGGTTCCCTGATTACTAACATATTGAACTCGCACCAGATTCCTCTGGTCTTCTGACTGTTAACTGACCTCAGCAAAGGGCCTCCCTCTCCACTGTTCCTGGGCGCACTGTACCTGGTCAGCTTTCCCGGTGTGGTTTATGCTGTATTCGGATGTCCACGTAGCCAGCCAGTAGTCTATCGCCACAATCACTGAGTGCTTCAGAAGCTTAGAGAAGATCATGAGGAAGAGTAAGAAGAACCCTCCTGAAGTGAGGTACCACCAGCAGGTCTTCCAGGGCATCTTCGTCCTAAGCCTCATCACAGTTGACATGTTATCATCCTCGTCTTCCTCCTCCTCTTCCTCTGTATAGTCACACATGCAACAAACCTTGTGTAAGCTTCAGCTGAGCACCAGAATGAATTTCTATTTTCTGACAAGAATATTCATAACCACATTTAACTTTACAGAAGCAAACGTATTAGCTTAGGAGGTTTTAAATACTTTAAGTAGTGCATACTTTGACTATTAAAAATACATTGAAAATGGTCAGACATGGTGGCATGTTTCGGCAATCCCAGCATTTGGGAGGCAGAGGTGGGAGGATCAGAAATCCAAGGCTAACCCCAGCTATAGGCTTCATGGGGAGTTCAAGGCTAGCCCCAGCACACACTCTCTGTCTCTGTCTCTGTTAGTTTAAGGATAGCCTAAGCTATATAAGATCCACTCAACATAAAGAGAAAGAAAAAAGAAAGGAAGGTAGGAAGGTAAAGGAAGGAAGGAAGGAAGGAAGGAAGAAAGAAAGAAAGAAAGAAAGAAAGAAAGAAAGAAAGAAAGAGCAGAGGTAAAAGGTGAATAAACAAACAAATATAAAAATTCACAAACGGAGCAGACCACTGATTTCCAGACACTTAAGTTAGTGATGGAATTGTGTTGTAATGAAAACATGCTCCTGGTTTGCAAACATCTAATTTTTAAAGAAATATATGGCTTTCTGAACTTAGAAATCTGCACCAGGAGAAAAGCAACTGTGGAATTTGTGCCTGCCTTAGAAGCACCAATCCATAATTTTTCTGTTCTGCTTTAGGTGTGGTCATGGAAGAGAGTTGTCAAGAAGGAACATTCCAGAAGGCAAAGCTAAAGACCACATGAGACAATGGACAGGGTGATCCTATCAAATGTTTAAGCAGCTTAGTTACTTTGAGACTGATTGTCTCTTCACTGCAATGGCAGGGAGGCCTTCTCTTTCCTTCTCAGCACGACTTGGTTATTTGCATGTTCCAGCAATTGCCAGGTCTCCTGTCTGTTCCCTCTCCAGTCAGTTTGTATTACACTTAAGCTGCATGCTCTCCACTACTGGAATAGTTACGGGTACTAAGCTGTAGATCCGAAGGATGGGCAATATGACTTTGTCTGCCAATCATCAGACCAAAGGGGCCCCATGTGGATGTGAGGCAGAGACAGCCCATCACCAGCACTTCCTGTTTTGACCGAGTCTTAGATGAGCTCGTCTTTGGAAGTATGATGTTCTCTGTCTCATAGGTGTGGGAACAGGAACATGAATGATGAAAATGGTAGATAGTTGAAGACTGCGATCAGTCTCTCTAGTCTAGACACCCTCAAAATTAAGACGACACTGAAAAGCTTCCTTAATTCATTGATGTCTTTTTTAACTTCATGAACATTCATTGAGACATCTGAAATATGGAGGAGGCAGAATTTGGTGTTTTCTGCCTTCACATTGCAATGTTCTGTATTTCTTAGTTGCCCAGTGGAAAGAAATGGAAAACAAAAGCTACACAGGAGGTGGAACATAATGAATGTGTTTATTCTACGTACTTAAATGGTTTATTTTAAAACATTCTTGTGATTCAGATCAAGACAATGTCATGATTTTGGCTGACTGCTTTTCAAAATTCTGGCAAATCTTTCTTCTTCTTCTACAGAATATAGTATTAGATGTGGGAAACTGAAATGAAAAAAGGGCTCCCTGACATCTGCATTCTTTGTCAGGTATGACGGAAACCACATGCGTAAGGACTGAACGACTCAAGCAAAGGGACTGTCTTTCCGATATTTCCACTGATTGTTGGTGTTTAAACAATTGATATTTTAGTAACAAATGGATTCAGTCATGATGTGGGAGTGTCATATATCAATCTGTTGATTTCATTGGTTAATTAAAGAAACTGCTTGGCTGGCCTCATAGGTTAAAGCATTGGTGGGAGGTGTAAACAGAATAGAATTCTGGACGGAAGATGAAGTGAGGTCAGACTCTGCTCTGCTCCCGGAGACTCTACAGCTCTGCTCTGGAGCAGAGACACCAGGATGGACATAGGCTAGAATCTTCCCGGTAAGCTCACCTTGGGGTGCTTACACAGATGATTAGAAATGGGTTAGTCCAGGTGCGAGAATTAGCCTGTAAGGGCTAGAGTTCATGGGCCAAGCAGTTCTTTAAATGAATACAGTTTGTGTGTTGTTATTTCGGGCGTGAGCTAGCCAAACGGCCGGGATGTTGGGGACGCAGCCCCGCTGCTCTTATTTCAACACAGTCACGATACTAGACTTTTACAATTGTTCTGTTTTTAGATCCCACTTTTGTCTTTCCATGCCCGCTGAGTGCACGTCTCACAGAGGCTGCTAGGGGAAATACGCCTTGCCTTGACGCTGTCATGCTAAATATATTAAGCATCTCGTTTGGCTCTGGGCCTTGTGCAGAGTGTCTTGTTACATGTGTGTGGCAGTGGCTTGTTACATGTGTGTGGCACATTCTCATGTCAGTTTCCAGAGTGAAGTCCTCATGACATGCTAATCTAGCTGAATGTTTCAGATTTAAAAAAGAAAAAAGAGACTTGCCTTCATCTTCATCCTCCATCTGTGCTTTGGCCTCTCTTGAGTACATGGCTCTTCGGAGAGTCTTTCTCTCTAATGTCGTTTGGTCTGCTTCCATGTCCTGTGAACAACAATATGCTCACTGAAGGAGTTTCTGTCTGAGAAAGGGTTGGACTTAGCCATGGATGACACACTGGATGGTTTCTTTTTTCCTTTTTTTTTTTTTTTTTTTTTTTTTTTTTTTGTATTTTTCAAGACAGGGTCTCTCTGTATAACAGTCCTGACTTTCCTGGAACTAGCTATTGTAGACCAGGCTGGCCTCGAACTCACAGAGATCCTCCCACTTGAGAGTGCTGGGACTAAAGGCCTGTGCCACCACTGCCTGACCCTAGGCGATTCTATACCAGTCCCCAGCTCTCCTGTCACAATGGCTGTTATAGAAATCATGCTAGGATTTTATAAATTTGTGAATTTTATGAATAACATTTCTGTACTCAGATGTGTAGGCCAATAGGAAGCCAGAAAGAGTTACAACATCAACTCCACCACTGAGATATCTTTTGTTTTTACATCGATTCCAAACACAGGCTTTTAACCTGAGGATCCACTTATGCTAAATATCATCTTTTAAAAACATTCAAGCTAGGCATGATAACAAATGCCTGTCATCTCAGTCTTCAAAAGGCTTAGGTATGTGAGTTTCTAGAAATCGCAGGCCACCTGAACTACATAGGGAGATCCATCTCAAGAAACAAACAAAAACTGCATGAGATGGCTGGGCAGCAAGCTTCAAGGATCCTCTTGACTCTACTTGCCAGCTCTGGGATTGCAGATGTGTGTGTAGTCACACGCACACACAGCTATGCCTGGCTTTTTATGTGAGTCCTAAAAGTCTAAACTCACGTTTTCATGCTTGAAAAGCAAGCATTTTACCCCCTCCCCAGTCCAATGGAGGAATAGCTCTCCAGCTTCAGATTGGAATTCCAGGCAGGCGCTGGATTCTGTCTGTCTTCTCCTGACCTCCATTTTACTTTGCAGCTGACTTTGCCATGGCCTCACCCTAGCTTGTTCCACATCTCCTGTGCTTGAAAGATGTCCTGCCGTCTGTCTTTGAAAGATGTCCTGCCGTCTGTCTTTGATTAGGAAGCTAATCATCCCTTCATCTCTAAATGCAACTGAATGGACACAGACTTTCTTCCTGGCTTGCTCAAACAATATTGCAATCCCACTCAGCCTACTGTGTTCGTTCTCTCTGTCTCTGTCTCTCTCTGTGTTTTATTCCAGATCCTGATCCTTCTTTTCAAAGAAAACAATAAATTTTCCTGCTTCTAACAATGACATCATATTATTTCCCTTTGGTGCTTAGATGACTAAATTGATGTTAGTTGGGGGTCCCCTCAAGATGCTCCTCATCACCCCTCGCACACCTGCTTTCTTGGGCATGGCACTGCACAGTGTGAGATGTTCCTGACACCCTGAGTCCCATGAGTCTGTCATCCTTCTTATTCTCTGCAGAGATTTTTCACAGGCATTTATCTTCCTCCAGTGTGGTAATATTTTGTTTGTGATCTAACAAATAAAGCTCATCTGGAGATCAGAGTGCAGAGCTAGGCACACTAGTCAGCCAGACAAGCCAGGCAGCGGTGGCACACACCTTTTATCCCAGCACTAGGCAGGTGGATATTTGTGAGTTCAAGGCCACTCTGGGCTGCATACTGAATCAGTCTAAAAGAAAAACAGAGCTCACTCCTTTGATCCCAGTACTTGGGATCATGTACCTTTAATCCCAGCACTAGGGGGGTAGAGTCAGGAGTGATATGGCTGGGCAGAGAGAGGAATCTAAGCTGGGAGGAAACAGGAGTTCAGAGCATTCAGTCTGAGAATTCATGGACACAGGATCTTGTCCTTTTAGTCTGAGAATTTGGTAGAGGTAAGAACTCTAGTGGATGGCTCCTTTACTTCTCCGATCTTTCAGCATTTATCCTGATATCTGACTCTAGGTTTTTATTAATAAGACAAACTAGAATTCTCACAACATGGGTGGGGTGGGAATTTGCTTTTGAGATCTTCAGAAAGTCACCAGACAGAGAACTTTGAGAAGAGTGTGGCTTTTGGGCCTTCCTTCACTACAGGAGTATAGATTTTATTTTTCTTTCTTAAAAGATACAATTTGATTTTCTGATTTTTAAGAAAATGGCTAATATAACTGCTTTTTTTTTTTTTTTTTGAAAGCTCATTCCTGGCCACTGTACTCGATTCTGGATATATCCCAGGCCAAACCCCAAGGCAAAAGTTCTCAAAGATTTGAAAATTCAATGTCCTATTTCTTTTCCCAATCACAAAATGAATCATTTTCCAGGTTCTGGTTTCCAAGTCTATTATTGCGCCATTTAGTATGGCTGAACTATGGCACAGCTACTCTGGAGGTGGACCTGGCTTTTAATCCCATCAGTGCCATGAACACATGCTGTACAGCTCAGACAGATTATTTGAGTTCTCTGGGCCCCCGTTCTCTCTTCTGTAAAAATGAGAAAATCCTTTCTGTGCTTATTCATCATGACTTTTCTTGAGAACTAAGTGAGAGTGTTAAAAAAGTCTTCGTGGTGTATGAAAAAGTGTCTTCTTCTTTCTGTTGAGCTCCATCCACTCCAGACATACCCAGTGACTCCAGCCAGAGCTCAGAGCTTTGCCTTCTTCAAAACCACCTTGGATTTTATCTTGACTGTGTTTGTCTGATTGTAGGCAATGCATGAAAATGATCTTACCACTCGTGAGAAAAGAAGAGATCAATAGGCAAAAGAAGGAAAGTCTCAAGGCTTGATAAACAGCTCATTCAACTTGTAGCTACATACACAATTCCAAATGGCTCAGATTCAAAACTCAGGTAGCCATTCATCCAGAAGAAAACATAAGACAGGACCAGCTGGGGCTTGAGAGTTAGCTCCATGGGGAAGAGGGCTTGCTGTACAAACAGGAGAGTCTGAATCTGTATCTCAGCACTCATATAAAAATTTAGGGGTGGCCATTCACACCTGGAACCCCAGCATTGTGTGTGGATGGTGGAGACAGGAACAATGATGGTGAGTATGGTCATCAGCCTACATCCGGCTTCAGTAAGAAAACCTCTCTCAAGGAAATAAAGCAGAGAGAGACAGAACAAGACATTGAGTGTGCTCCTCTAGTTTCTACACATGTGCCTGTGACTGTGTACTCTTAGTAGACACACATGCATGCATGTATGCTCCCTTGTGCCTGTGCGTGTGCACACACACACATACACACACACATACACACATATGCACCACACATGCAATACATACCGGACACACAGTAAATAAACAAGCAAATAACAAATAAGTATAGTAAAATATAACAAGTTCAAAGTAGACTGTTCAGTAACTGTATGCAAAGACGCAATTATCTTGAGTTTCGGAAGAGGCCGTCGCAGAGCCCCGTGCATCCTACGAAGCACAGCGCTTCCTTCAGAGAATTTCTAGTAACTGCATGGACCGCTCTGACCCTTCTTACCTTCTCCAGTTCTTGATCTTGTCGATTCATGAGAGTTTTCCAGTGCTCGTAAAGCTCCACGTCCTTGGTCTGAATGTCTTTCAAAGTCCCTTCTCGTAGCACACTCCCGTCCTTCATAGCTATGATCTGAGGAAAGAGACCGTGAGCAGAAACCTAGAAGAATCTGGAAGTGGCCCAATGATTCAGCTGTGTCTCAGGGAGTATGTCTTGGTGTCTAAGATACGACTCTTGTTGGAGCCCGTGCGGGTCCAACACAGATTCTCTAACTAGACTGGAACGGTGTCGCGAGGAATAATCAGACACAGCTTACACCGTCATCATGGAAAAGGCCTGTCTCCCCGTTTATTCTCCAAACATTTTATATACCCACACCAAATTGAGCAGGGGGGGAAAACACATTATGCCATCACCTAGGCAACCAGGTGCCTGGGCTAAAGTCATGTCTGCATCTAGCAGTCAGATAGGCCCTGAATTAGCATCTCTATAAGACAACCTCCAAATTGCAAAAGGAAGGAAGGCCCAAACATCCTGACCAGTTTCAGTCAACACCTCTTCTCAGGTAATCCACACTTTAACAAAAGAAGCTAGGAGCAAGACATCCTGGCTTTTTTTTAAGGACACAGACAGCTTGTCTGCAGAGCTATGTAATCAGCTCAAACCGGGGCAATGGCTTTTGTGTAATCTCGAAATATGCGCCCACAACTGTAACACAAACCCAGGAAGTCTCACCCAGTCCGCGTGGGTCAGGTACTGCAACTTGTGAGTCACAAGGACAACAGTCCTCTTGTCATCCTGGAGGAACTTCAGAATTCCTTCCTGCATCAGGTGATCACTCAGGTGGATATCCAGGGCAGAGAAGGGGTCGTCCTGCAGCAGGGAGAGTGGGAAGGGAGATGAACGGGGCCCGTACTCAGTTCCACTAAAAATCCTCAAAGAACCAGTTAAACAATGAGAAACAGAAACATGAGCCAGGATTTTGGTGAAACAATGAGGGTGTCTGGGACATGTCTTTTTTTGTTTTATTTATTTCTGCGTTGTTCTCCTATGTGTTTACTATGCAAACCAGTGTCTACATAATCTGCATCCAAGGAAGGAGTGACTGGATTCTTATTCTATCAATTCTACATAGTGGGATGCATACTCACAAATGTAGAAATATAACTCTGAAAGAATTTAGCACAGTTCTGTCAGCTATACACATAAACCTGATTGACTATGTAGACAGGGAAATAAAACAACTATATTTAGAAGTTAGAGTCAGTTTAAATGTACAGCCATTACAAGGAGAATTATAATTAGCTCAATATTTATTCAGTATTCAATTATTCTCTGCTCAATAAACAGGAACACTAAGTGATGATTTTAATTAAAGCATTTTATAACAATCTAATGAAAAAATAAACATTAGTAAACAGTTACTTTTTTAGATATCATAATCACAGATAAATAGGTGAATTAATGAATATCCTCAAATGGCTTTTATATAAATACATTTAGTAACTGATAATAGCCTGTAGTAGTTTATTTAAACCATTCAAATACAAGAATATTTAGATAATGGAATAGTTAGCAAGGCAATTGTCATTATATATGTATATATGTGTGTGTATACAGAAACCTAACAAATACAGGCATAAATGTATGTTTATATGCTATCTGGGTAATTAAATTAATTTTATTTTATTTTCATGAACATCGATGCAAAAATTCTCAATAAAATACTGGCAAACCGAATCCAAGAACATATCCAAAAAAATTATACACTATGATCAAGTAGGCTTCATCCCAGAAAGGCAGGGCTGGTTCAACATACAAAAATCTATCAATGTAATCCATCATATAAATAAACTGAAGGAAAAAACCCATAAGATCATTTCATTAGATGCTCTGACCAAGGAAGTGAAAGATCTATTTGACAAAAACTTTAAGTCTTTGAAGAAAGAAATAGAAGAGGACACCAGAAAATGGAAGGATCTCCCATGCTCTTGGACTGGGAGGATAAACATAGTAAAAATGGCAATTCTACCAAAAGCAATCTATAGATTCAATGCAATCCCCATCAAAATCCCAACAAAATTTTTCACAGACCTTGAGAGAACAATAATCAACTTTATATGGAAAAACAAAAAACCCAGGATAGCCAAAACAATCCTATACAATTAAAGTACCTCTGGAGGCATTACCATCCCTGACTTCAAACTCTATTACAGAGCTACAGTAATGAAAACAGCTTGGTATTGGCACAAAAACAGAGTTTTTGACCAATGGAATCAAATCAAAGACCCAGATATCAATCCACAAACCTATGAACACCTGATTTTCGATAAAGGAGCTAAAATTATACAATGGAAGAAAGAAAGCATCTTTAACAAATGGTGCTGGCATAACTGAATGTCAACCTGTAGAAGAATGAAAATAGTTATGGATCTATCACCATGTACAAAACTCAAGTCCAAATGGATTAAAGACCTCAATATTAATCTGACCACACTGAATCTGATAGAAGAGAAAGTTGGAAGTAGTCTACAACACATGGGCACAGGAGACCACTTCCTACATAGAACCCCAGTAGCACAGACAATAAGAGCAACATTGAATAAATGGGACCTCCTGAAACTGAGAAGCTTCTGTAGGACAAAGGACACTGTCATTAAGACAAAAAGGCATCCTACTGATTGGAAGAAGATTAAATTTATTTTTAAAAAGTAATGAAATGAAATTTATTAGTAACAGAATGTTCTGGAATATTCCAAAAAGATTTGTTCATGATATTGAAATGTTTCAAAATCATTGTGAACCCTTAGTTTATTTTTATTAATACCAACTCTTTCTAAGACACTCTGTGAACTAGAACATCAAAGAGAGGAATCTGTCTCCCTGCGGCCCAATAACTTGCTTTTAAAAATTGTCACAGGTACTCCAGGCAGTGGTGGCATGCATCTTTAATCCCAGGACTAGAGAGGCAGAGGCAGGCAGACCTCTGTGAGTTCGAGGCCAGCCTGGTCTACAAGAGTTAGTTCCAGGAAAAGTTCCAAAGCTACAGAGAAACCCTGTCTTGAAAAAAAAAAAAAAAAAAAAAAACAAAAAAAAAATTGTCATAGGTGGCTCTGGAGAGATGGCTCAGGGGCTAAGAGCTCTGGCTGCTTTTCTATAAGACAGATTACTTAAAAATGAAAGCATATGTAGCAATATAAATCATTCTAAGATACATTGTTCTCATGCTGGTCGTAGGAAAGAGGCTTGAGTTCTCTTTCAGGACGCTGGCAGGGTTTACCTCCTTCTCCGAGCAACAACGCCACAGGAGTTTAATTGCAAGGTTTACTAGCCAATCACTGGTTTTGAAAATTCAGATAACTATTATAGGGGATGAACTGATTGCTCTTGACAAGACTTCTGCTTCTGGTTCCTGTAAGACCCAGAGCATCTTCAGTTATACAGATCAAATATCCCAAATAGTTTGTATAAGAAATTATTCATAAGGAAAAAGGATATGTTAGAAATGAGTTTTTTATAGGAACTCATGTCTGCTTTCCATACACTTCTGAGTTGAAATGTCATGAGACAGCTTGTAGAGTGTTGGGAATGAGAGAGCTGGAATGTAGTTCCAATCTCTCCTCTCTCTCTCTGTTCTGGGCAGTATATGTCCCAACTGGCACTTCATTTGTAAAATGACAGGCATACTAAAGGGACCTGTCAGAATATTCATCAGACTGATGCAAAGATCCAATAAAATAATGTGGTGTTTCCTGAAATCTTTTAAAAGTGATGTTCTACTGTTACTGTCTTATAAACCAAGCCATGGTGGATTGACAGGTTATGTCTCTCTAAAATGCCATGGTGACAGCTATGTGTCTCTGGGACTCAGCACAGAGGAAGTTAGGCTGATTCAAAAGCCAGCTCCAGTCAGCCAGGGAGGGACTGGGGTCAGCCATCCCAGCTACTCAGAGGTTGAGGCAAAACGGTCACAAACTCAAGGTGTGTCTGACCCGTAGAAGGAGTACAAAGCCAGCTTAGTAACTTAGGAATATTTTGTCTCACAATAAAAAGAAGGTTGAGGACATAGCTCAGTGGCAGAGTGCTTGCCCACCAATCTGAAGATTAGGGGAAACACAAGGTGTGGAATCAGCTTACTTTACATGGTAGAATGATTATTTTTAAATATCAGCGGGGAAGGAAATCTCAGTGGGAGAAAAGGGGGGTTGTCTAGATCAGGTTGACCCATGGGCAGCTGTGTGAGGAACTGTCTTGATTAAATGAACTGGTATGGGAGGACCCAACCTCCAATGGATGATCTCATTCCCTAAGTTAGTCTTCAGGATTAACCTGAAATAATTCCAACTTATCCAGATTCTTCTTTTACATGGATTCAAGTTCAGCAGGAAACTCCAACATCAACCAATGTTCTGAAGAAGTTCAAGAGATACAGGGGAATGAATGTCTTAAATGGTGGTTTTCAACCTTCGTAAAGTTGTGACCCATTAATACAGTTCCTCATGCTGCAGTGACTCCCAACCATAAAATCGTTTTTGTTGCTACTTCGTAACTGTAACTTTGCTACTGTTATGAATCATAATATAAATATCTGTGTCTTCCAGTGGTCTTAGGTGACCTCTGTGGAAGGGTCATTTGACCTGCAAAGGAGTCTTGACCCACAGATGATTGAGGGTTCTAAACCGTCTACAAGCAGATTTACAAATGAAGTCTAATGATGTCCCAGGAGAGGAACAAGCTTACATTCTCTGCTGAACTCTAAAATTCCCACTTTATATATGTTGTTATTTTGACCCCTATGTTCTGTATGAACTAAAACAGATCAAAATCATAACCAACACAATCAAGAAACTCTGTAAATACATAAAATCTCCTGAAGCATATTCAAGGCATGGGTGCTACTGGTGCTGAGCAAAAATCGCTCAATCTGTAGATCAGGCTGGCCTCAGACTCACAGAGATCCACCTGCCCCTGCCTACCAAGTGCTGGGATTAAAGGTGTGCACTACCACCGCCCAGCAAAGATTGCTATCATTTTAGGAATCATCACATATAACACTTATCTACATTCTGAGCTGCTCATGATTGGAACGGAATATCTATTTAGATGTTCCCATGTCCACCAAGACTCTGTTTTCTGAGCCTTATCTCTTTGCCATGAAACAAAAGAAGATTCTGCCCCAATTTTCTAACATCATCCATACTCCTTCTTTCATGATTCTCCTGGTCAAGAAACACAGAAAAACCACTACCTCTAGGGACTGTCAGATTGGTTCAGAAGCAGATGGTGGTTACCACCAAGCCTGAAAACCAAGCATGAGTTGGATCCTTAGGACCAAGATGTTGAAAGGAGAAAACTAAGTAATTTGTCCTCTGACGTCCGCACATGCACTGTGACAAGCAAGCCCTGCCTCCCCTTCCCACACAAACGAATAAATAAATAATTCATAAAGCTTCAAAAGATACTGCCTAAAGTACCTTGCTGCTTTCTATTGTAATTTCGTGGGCACCAACCTGGAGCCACCAACTCTCAGTTCTGAATGCTGAGTCACTGAACTGCACTGTGAGGATTTGCCTACTCTGTACTCTGTAATTCCATTAAACCAGCTTTGCTTCAGTTGTCCAGCTTGGCTTTTTAAAGACCCACTTGTCCAGAGGGAGAAATCAAAGAATAAATAAAATTGAAGTTCATATTCTTACCAAGAAGACAATGTTGGTGTTTTGGTAGAGCGCCCGGGCCACACAGATCCTTTGCCTCTGGCCCCCACTCAGGTTGATGCCCTTGAAAAGAAATACCAGAAACACCCATTTTCATCATTAATATGGGATCTGATGGTAAAGATCACCTCTAAAATGCAAGTCACTCTAAACACTTTTAACATGACGCTTGATATGTGTCCATAGTCTTTGACCATTTATACTATTCCTCCTTTCATTCTGTGAGCTTTGCTGAGCAAAAGCATGAATAACCAGCTCTCTTGGTGGGTAACAAAGACAAGCAATTCCCAATTTTTAAGCTTTCACATTGGCTATACTTTGACACATACCTCATTTTACAAAGTTTTTTATTTTATTTTTAATTATGTGTGTTTCTGTGTGGGTAAGTGCACATGAGGGTAAGATGCCTGTGGTCACAGGAGGGAATCAGATCACTTGGAGTTGGAGTTACGGGAGGTTGTAAGCTGCCTAGATGGGTGGTCAGAACAGAACTTGGGTCTTCTGCAAGAGAAGCAAAAGTTCTCTGCTGCTGAGCCAACGCTCAACTCTCAATACATACCACTTCAATTTGATTGTAAAGTTATACCAAATACCACTCCACAACAATAGTTTTTATGATGAAATAGTAATGATAGTTAATAATTAGCATTAACTTAGCACCTGGTATATGTACTAGCAGGCTGGTATATGTGATTTTATAATTTTCTCTATTTTATTCCCCAAAGGAGGTCCAGTAGATCAAGATTGTTATCATTTCACACCTGTGGATGTTTTTACTCTGAGACATGAAGCTACTGTTGTTCTTAAATGAGTCATGACGTTGCAATAGAAAATAGTCGTTAAGAAGGTGGCTGGTCCTAAGCACCTAACACTGACTGTTTGGGAAATTTCTCAGTTGTTTAGCCTTGGTATCCTCAGTTGTACCACGCTGAGGACAAAATCACCCACAACATCAACTTATTGTCACAGTAGATAACACACATTAGCCTTTTGTTTCGGGACAATTTTGAACCTATAAGAGTTAAGATTCTTGTTAGTCATTAGTGTGATAACGATGGCAGGTCTAAATGTTTTCATCTGCCAGAACAGCATGATGTCAACATAAAACAGGAGAGTGTAAAGACGAATAAGACCTTAACAAAATAATAGATGTTGATGAGACAGACTGGAAGAAATTATCAGAAGCGATCTCAGTTTCCAAAGCAATTCATGCCAGCAGAACCAGGAAGGCAGAGTATGCTTGCTCAGAGCCAGGGGTGATGGTTCACTCTCCCCACCCCGGCTCACCGCCACAGGTCCCTAGTGGCTAGCACAATATGACTTGCACAGAAGGCTCTCAATGGGTACTTAAAGGACGGTGGTATCAAAGAGTGCCTGTCCTTATATTTTGGTGCTTGTCACTGGGACAACATGTAATCCCTAAGCCCCAAGACTTCCTTGTGTTCTTCTGAGGATTAAAGATAAGCAGTCAACTCTCTTCTCTTTTCTTTTGTGCATTGCTTAGTTCAATTACATTTAGCTCACCCTCTCTCCAATTTCAGTTTGGTCTCCGAACGGTAGCAAATCAATATCGGGCTGAAGAGAGCAGGCGTCGGTAACAGCTTTGTACCTTTGGGAGAAATGATATTCAGGGTCTTTTGAAATACAGATGTTCCCTCAAGTGTATTACATTCTCTGACAATAGCCACTCCCCTTTCCTCTTCTCTGTACCTTCCCTTTCTTTCCCTCCCTCCCCTTCCCTTCCTCCCTTCCTTCCTTCCCTCTCTTCTAGCCTGCCCCCTCTCCTAGTCCCCCTTCTACTCTCAAGGGACATTCATGGGTAAAAAGTTTTCTTATCCATTTTATTTTATTTTTGGATTTTCGAGACAGGGTTTCTCCGTAGCTTTTGGTTCCTGTCCTGGAACTAGCTCTTGTAGACCAGGCTGGCCTCGAACTCAGAGGTCCGCCTGCCTCTGCCTCCCTAGTGCTGGGACTAAAGGCGTGCGCCACCACCACCCGGGTTCTTATCTATTTTAAAGGAAGCAAGGATCCAAAATATAACAAAACGTGTACTATTTGTCCACCTGAGTTTGGCTTATATGACTTAGTAGCCTCAGCTGTTTGACTTCTCTAGCAAAAAATATAATTATCTTCTTCTTTATGATGAATAAACTCATATATGTATTCATTCACTGGTTTGGTTTTGAGGCTGTTGTTCATTATCCCCTCGATGCCCACAACCCCAAGTTCAGTATCTTAGACTGGAATAAATATCGACCGAGCATGTTAGTTTGAGCCTAGACTAGGAAAGTGTGAGTTTCCATTCCTCCCTTTTTGAACAGTGATAGTGGTATGAGGTTATATGCACATTAAATAACTAGGTTTTCTCATTTATAGTTTATACCTAAAACATCACTTTGTACTTAAAAATTACATCCAAGTTTATTTGTCTGTTAAAAAATTTAAAGCTAGCTGGATGGTAGTGGCACATTCCTTATTAATTAACTAATTAATTAATTCCAGAACTTGGGAGGCAGAGACAGGTGGATATCTGTGAATTCAAGGCCAGTCTAGTCCAAAGCAAGTTCCAGGACAGGCTCCAAAGCTACAGAGAAATCCTGTCTTGGAAAAACAAACCAAAACAAAACAAGCTGAAAGCTAGCATCTTCAAAAGAGGGTCAAGGCAAACACACACAGAACTGGGCTTTCTCAGGTGCTGTCAGTAGAGAGGGGAACCACCACTCCTGCAACATGAGAAAAACAATAACACTCCATAAAAGAAGGTAGAAATTTGCCAGGAAAAAGGAGCAAAATGAAGCTTAAGGAAGATCTGATGGTAGATAGTTCATGATATCAGTGAGAGACAGAAGGCTGTCCCTCATGGCCAAGCACAGGCTAAGTGGCTGCCCTCAAATATTGTTGTGTATGCTAAGGTAGGAGAAACAGAAGGGAAGGGGATTGAGAGCACTCAAATTTAATTAAGTATATAAAGATGGGGCTAGAACACAGGTGAATTAAATATAGAGAACCAAAGGACTTGGAGACACTGGAGTTATTGTTCATGTGTGCAAGTGTGTTCGTATGCTCATTTCGTACAGGCACATGTGTGTGAATGCTTGTGTGTGTGTATGTTCATGTGTGGGCATGTGTGTTCACACATCCATGTGTGTGCAGGTGTGAGTGTGTACATGTTCATGTGTGTGTAGGTATGTGTGTGTGAATGCCCATGTCTGTGTAGCTGCATGTGTCTATCTGCCCATTTGTGATGGAGGAAGGTCATTGGTTAATTAAATAAAGAAACTGCTTGCCCTGATAGGTTAAAACATAGGTGGGAGGAGTAAACAGAACAGAATGCTGGGAGGAAGAGGAAGTGAGGTAAGACTCCTCAGATAGACTCCATAGCTCCTCTTAGAGACACACACAATGAAGCTCCGGCCCAGGATGGACGTAGGCTAGAATCTTCCCGGTAAGTGCACCTTGGCTAGTCCAGCTGTGAGAGTTAGCCAAGAAGAGGCTAGATATAATGGGCAAGCCGTGTTTAAAAGAATACAGTGTCCGTGTAACTATTTCAGGCATAAGCTAGCCATGTGGGCGGCCGGGGTGCTGGGGACGCAGCCCTGCCATTCTTATTACAACACATTTGAAAGTCAGGACAACTTCAGGTGTCTTTCCTCAGGTACTTCCCACCTTATTTTTTATTTGTTGGCCTGGATCTCAGCAAATAGGTTAGGGCCAGCTGGACAGTGAGCCCTGGGGTTCATCCTGTCTGGCCTGCTTCTCTAGTGCTGGGAGCACAGAAGCATGCAACCATATCTAATATTTTTTACATGGGTCCTAGAGAGAAAATTCAGATCTTCATATTTGCAAAGAAGACATCTTACTACCGGCTGAGCTATCTCCCTGGCAGTCAACCATTTATTGGTTGTAAAGTATTCAAGTCAATCTTGATTCCTTCCCCATATGCCTCCATTATTATTCGAGAACTTTTTTCTCATCCATATACTCTTTCACACTTCTACTCTCTGATCTAAGCATGTGTCTAAGTGATTCTTCCAAATAACTCCCTTACATCCCTTTGACTCAATTCAGATTGTGTCTGCCTGTGATTCTCCACCTAATTTGACTGATATTTTAACCTCCAAAGTCAACACTGCATTTCCTTGTAGCCCTTTCCATTCTTATTGTTAGTTGATATTTTATTTATGTGTTTGTTTGGGTTATTTCTGAAGCAGGATCCCATGTAACCAGGCTGACCTTCAGCTTGCTATACGGCCAAAGATGATCTTCCTGTCATCACAACATCCAAGTGTTGGGATTTCATACGTGCCCCACTCCACCAGCCTGTACCCCCTTTTCTAAAGCCTACAATTCCTTTTTGGAATACACACAATAACATCAAATGAGCTTTATAATCACCCCTACCTAGTTCTTCTTTCTGAATCTCCTTTTGTCTGCCTGTTTCCAGAAAACTCGAATAATATATGTTGTTCTCCCAATATGCCATGCCCCTGCCTTCTTTTCTTGTCAGTATTCCTCTCCTCGTGCCTAATTCTCTTTAACTTTCAAGATCTCAGCTTTTGATCTTAAGACCCATCACTGTGAATGTGGCTCAAGGCACAGGCTATCTTGTCTACCTTCCTATGGAAGATGGTAGAGAGGTGGTATACGTCAACTCAACATCGTCACTAGGGGACTCCATCACCAAACTTTCCATCCATCCAGTTTAACCCTCTTCATTCAGCATATTTGGACATGTCCCTTTTTACCTACTCAAGAATAAACTACAAAGTCCCATCCCACTGTCATACACTCTTCTGCTGTGACCTCTAGTTTTCTGGCATTGCCTCCCAATGAGTGAACTGGTCCAAACTCATGGATCACAAGGGGTTGTTTAGCTGTAAATTGCATATGTGCAAATTTACCTCTGTCTGTTGAAAGGACTTCCAAAAGTGATGTTTTCCTCGACTGTAGCATTTAGAAGCCAGGGCTTCTGGGCAGCATAAGCCACAGAATACCTGCTCCTGCTGTGGAGAGGAAACAACACAGATTACATGGGGTGCTGTGCTAAGCATTTCAGTGCAACTAAGGGCAATGAGAGCTGACAGAATATATCAGACGTGGAAGTAGACAACTAAAAGCCAAGAAGGCCAAGACCCCCAACATTAGAAAGTATTTATTAAATAAGTCACTTAAATTACAGGGATCAGAATTTAATTAAAATATCATGCAAGAGAACTCTGATTGCTCTTTGGGCTGACGAGGGAGGGGGACGTGATTGGGGAAGGGGAGGGAAAGGGGAGGCGGCGGTGGGGAAGAGACAGAAATCTTTAATAAATAAAAAAAATCATGCAATGAGTAAAATTTGATTTTCCTGTGCTGATGAATTGTTTAATGTTATAAACTGTTAAGAGAAAATTTCTTTTCTGAATTGAAATTAAAGTGTTATTAATAATTCACTCACTTTAGTAGTCACAGATATTTTGGTTTATTATAAACACACTTTGTGAAACAGTGAATTTTTATAATTACTTTTAAGAACCATGAATTAAAAAACTAGAATTAGAGTGCACATTTGTGTTTAATTACATATAAGTATATTTTATTTATATAAAATATTTCAAAATGAAGAATGGTATCTAGAGAAGTCTATTTCAATGCTGAAACTATACATTCAAGGTCCATGTTTCAAAACATAAAATATTTCTAGGGAGAAGAATTGGAGGAGGGGTGAATATGCTCAAAATAAATTATAGGAAATTCTCAAAGAACTAATAAAAAATTAAAGAGAAAGACAGAAAGTAAATAAACACTATTAAATTTCTCCTCTCTTTTCTATTTCTTTAACTTACAAATTGTGTTATATGCTTACACATTAGACTTCAACTTGCAGTCATTTCAAAATACATGAGCTGAAGAAACAGAAGATGAAAGACCAGACTGGGGAAGGGAGAGGGTGAGCTTCGAATCAGATCTCCATAGTTAGTTCATGATATGTCAGTTCTAATGACGGGATTACAGTTAACAGAGAATAAAGGTAAGAAGAAGAAATAAGAAAAGCTGAACAGTCATCGGGAAGCATGGCATCGTAGAGCTTTAGAGGACATTAAAGTCTAGTGTGACAGTCATCTTTTAGATAGTTACATATGTGGGAAGGCAGTGGTCCCCAAGTCTGGCATGTCTCCTGCCCTTCCCCTTAATCTGGGGAGTGTTTTTCTGATGTTGGTAGTCAAAGTCTCTTTGAGCTTTTGGCTTTTGTTTTGTTTTGTGGTGGGCTGTTTGTTTTTGAGTAGCTAAAGCACTGGGCTCTCGATTTCAACGCCACATTCAGATTTATTTGACATATAAACACTGCGTGTATTGTTTCCTGGAGTTTTAGTTTAATGAGCCCCCAAGTTCCTTTACTAAAGACAGTTTGATTTTTCAGCCAAACTTAAAAAACCGTGTGACCCATTGAGACAAAAACAGTTGACCCAATGAGCTCCTTGGCAAATTTCTTTCGTTTTCTTTTTGATTTATTGAGAAAGGCTGTCACTCTAGCCTGGACTAATCTGGAGCTTAGTGTATAATGAAGAATGGCCTAGAAATCAAGCCCATCCTCCTGCCTCAGGGTTACAGGCAAGGGGGTGACAAATTAATCCTTCAGCATCCTGCAAAGTTTGAGAACCACTGCTGTTGGAGATATGGTAGGTATCTTAAAAATGACTGTTCACCACCAGAATATGATGGGCAAGAGATTAAAGACTGACGGGGAAAGTTATTCTTATTAAATTTGGGGGAAAATAGAAATAATACCTTCGGGTTGCTTCAAAGGAAGGCTCAGATTCATTTACACTGTAAGTATGGCAAACAATGTTCATTAATTATGAACTGTGACCATGAGAGGAAAGGTGTGCACATAGGTATGAGATAAACAAACATCAGAAACATTCTTCTAGTCGACTTCAAAGACAAGCTAGATAAATTATTTTCTTCTTGTTGATCTTCCTCAAGCAGGAGATAACCAATCACCAAGCCTCTGGACGACAGCAGGCCCAGCTGACCCCCACACAAACTGCTGTTTCGCATAACATCTTGTAGTCTTTGTCCAGCTCTGCTTCAGTTGGCTCTGGAAACTTGAGTAATTTTCCTAAAACCCAGATGCCTGTAGTTCTGCATGTCCAACTTCTTACCATCATTAAAATTTGATTTTGACCAATTTAAATTCTTCTTGCTGTCCTGAGACAGGTCAAAAGAAATAACTTGAGAGTCTAAACATGAAATGGTCATGAACCCCATTGTCATCCTCCAAGGATTGTGTATGAAAGTCAGACGTGAAGCAGGTCAAACTGCAACATCTGAACACAACTATGGATTGATGTGAAATTCATAAAAGTGGGATTGTACTGATTCCATGTAGTTACACGTTAATTATAGTGGGAAAATTACCTGAAGATTAGTATTTTGTATTTGAATTTTGAAACATTTAGCCTTATCCAAATTTTATTATTTTGAAAGGTTTTTATTCAATTGATCTATACAATTGATCTAATATAAGAGTAAGTATTATTTTTACTTTAGACAATGCTTTATGCTTTCTGTGAGAAAATATATCTAATTACATTACCTACTGATAAATTTGTTTTAAAAGTGGTAAGAATTAGTTCGAATACTGAACATTGCTGATGACATGATAGGGTGTTTAATAGAAGCAAAGAGTCATTGATATGAGACTAATAAAATACCAGTCTATAAAAAGTCTCCCAACAAGTATCCCCTGATTTAAGTAATTCATGAAAATCAAATGCTAAAATACTCCATATCTCAATTTGGATATCAAAACATTTGATTTTAATGTCTTAGTAGTAATGTTATTTAAGTCATCCATGAAAGGAAAGTAGATGTGCTGGAAGTTAGTGGACTCACTTGTGCATTATTCACCCAGATGGAAATGCCCACCACATAGCTGGATGGAGACCTTGGAAACCACCAGTTTGCCCAGATAATGATCAACTAAATTCCCACCGGGTTCAATATCAATTAAAAAACTTTATGGAGCTGGGGAGATAACTCAGCGGGCTAAGTCTTGGCAGCCAAACTTGACTGACCTGAGTTCAAGGCCTGGGAACCATGTGGTACAAGGACAGGCTCAGTTAAGTTGTTCTCTGAACTCCACCTGCACACGGTGGCAAACACATCTCCCACACTAAATAGATAAACAAATAATTAAATATAAATTTGATCACCTCCTGGTCCTGAGACTAGTGGAGACCCCGTGAGAAGGAAGGTTCTTTGCTTCCTGCATGGTGCTGCGCTGTTGTCAGAACACAACAAGCAGTAAGTACCAAGGTGAACAGGAATCTCCATGGAAACTCATTTCTGGTCATGTCTGTAAAAGTGTCTTCAGATAATTTTAACTGAAGAGGCAAGATCCACCCTGAATGTGGGTGACAGCATCCTATTGCCTGAGATCTTGGGCTGAGCAGAACTGAATGCCAGCACCCATGCTTCTCCACCACCCAAACGCTTTTGAAGTGTTATCAGCTGCATCCTGCTCCTGCAGCCGTGACTTCTCAATCCTGAAATTTGATGAAAAAAAAAATCCCTTCCTTCTGTAAGTTGATTTTGTCAGGTACTGTGGGAGTTCCTTCAGTCAATAGCCTTTAAGATACCAGCCCACTTGGCTGTGAACTCTTATACTATAAATGCCAAGGTAAAGTGTGTGCTCCCTCTTCCAGTTGCTGGATTTGGTTTCTGTTCTCTGTTCATGCAGAGGACTGTGATCTGTGAGTCTGCCCCTAAATAAATAACCCTTTATTGTACTCAGTTCTGAGCTAGTGTGGGATTTCTTATTAACGTCCATCTTCATCTGGTGCCCAATGTGGGGCTCAAACCTATGACCATGAGATTAAGAGTCCCATGCTCTACTGACTGAGCTGGATAGCAGGACTGGGCAGTACAGAAGCCTCTGCCAACAGTTAGGTGAGGTGCTTACTCACAGGTATAGGTAAAGTAACTAGTTAATGGAATTAGCAATGGAGCTAATGCAATGGGGAGGATGAAGAGTGGGCCACACTAAGAAAATGCCTGGAGAACTTAAGGCCAGATAAAGTGCATAGCAGATTCCCATGCATTACTCTGCTCAGACAAAGAACAGGTAAATCCAATATGGTCAAAACATTACATAAGCAGAGGACATAGACCCACAAAGACAAGCAGATGAGAACGACTTAGACAGTGAAGGACTCATGAACCACTTTGCAGGGTTCTACAAAAACATCATAAACTTCTACTTAAGAGAGAGGTTCAGTTGAGTAGCCGCACTCCAGGAACAGGAGGTGATGTGGGAGTGTCATATATCAATCTGTTGATTTCATTGGTTAAGCAATAAAGAAACTACTTAGCCCTGATAGGTTAAAACATAGGTGGGAGGAGTAAACAGAACAGAATTCTGGGAGGAAAAGGAAGTGAGCTCAGAGAGGCCATGCTCCCCTCTCCCAGGCAGATGCGATAGCTCTGCTCTCTGAGGCACACTGGATGAAGCTCCAACCCAGGATGGACGTAGGTTAAGATCTTCCCTGGTAAGCCACCTCGTGGGCTACACACCTTATTGGAATTGGGCTAGTCCAGGTACGAGAGTTAGCCAAGAAGAGGCTAGATATAATGGGCCAAGCAGTCTTATAAGAATACAGTGTCTGTGTAATTATTTCGGAGCATAAGCTAGCAGGCAGCCGGGGTGCTGGGGACACAGCCCCGCCACTCCTATTACAACAAGGAGGGAGGAAATACAGAGACCTCTGGAGTCTAGCAGAGCAGCGAGGGCAGTGCCCCCCCCCAGAGAGCTGTGCTGAGCAGATAAAGATGCCCAGCTGCCTTGGCTTGCAGGGCTGGTGAGAGGGGAGGATGGAAGAGCAAGAGATATGAGCACAGGAAGGGCAGTGCCTGTGATGGGGGACAGCAGAGGTTTTTAGCATCGAACACACTCGGTTGAGGTGCCTGGGGAGTTTCCAAATGACCTTGGACATGAAGCAGAAATTAAAGCTCAAGGGAGACCCAAGGAGGAAATGAAGACTTTGGAATGATTTCCTGTCTTAACATGTCTTAGCATGTAAACTGTATATATTCTATCTTATTCTTTAAAAATGTGTATTGCTGGAACATGTTGATAGAGAAGTCAAGAATGAAATTAGTTTACATAATAACTCCTGGATATATTTTTACATATTTTGGACCATAACATATGTGTGTCCACATACAAATAAGTAATTAATTTTAAGTCATGACATCCTTAAGAACTTGGGGTACATTGTAGGTATGACTTTACTTTGCTTCCCTGCCACCTGATGCTGTTACTAACACTTTTTACACGCAGATGACTTCCTTGCTTAGTTTTCAGTAAAACTTGCAGCGTGGTTCTCCCCTTACCATGTAGTAAGACACAGTGGCACGTGTCTGTAATCCCAGTTTCCAGAATGATTAGGAAGGAGGATCATGATTTTGAGACTAGCCTGGGCTACATAATAAGCCCTCATCTTAGAAAGCAATCAAAGCCAACCAGAAACCAAGCCTCTCCGTATTGTCCATTGCATAGATTTCTTTTCCTTGTCAGTTTGTTTGGTGGTGGTATTTTTGGGGATTCTGCCTTCCTCTATCTTCTGCTTCTGTATTTGCCAGATCATCACACATTTTCCCAGGACATCAGTTTCCACTCTCCGCTCCAAGTCGTTTGTTCTCTTGTAAACAAAGTAGATTGTTGGAACCATTCACTAATCTTTTTTCAAAGTAATAAGGAAATGGAAACTGGAATTTTGTTATCTAACAAAATTGAGAGTGCAAAGAAAACAACTACTTAGGTTATGAAATGCATTTCCATATTGCCATGTTGTTTATTTATTAAACCAATTATAATAATCATGAATGGCAATGCCCATAGCCAGATGGACTCAATTGGAGTGCAGGCCAAGAAAATTGAATGAGACCCGGGAAGAGCAGATTAGAACTCCCTGGAGGCCTGAGAGAGAGGCTTCTAGTTCTCCTCTCACTTTCTTACAGATGTCAATTTTGATAAAACAATGTTAAATGAAAGCCACGTAACCTGATGATGATGATGGCAACTGTTATATAATTTAACTGGTGAGATCTGCTTTCCATCCAGAGCATAGCTGACAGTGGGAAGCAGACACTGCTCGGTGTCCGACTGCAGTGATCAATGCGAAGCTGAGGGTTCATGATCTTGAGCTATTTCTCCCTCCAGAGCAGAGGATGACTGTGGGGAGACACTGCTCAGGCATCATGATTTCCTGAGCTATCCTCCGAATGTCAGCAAACGGTTTCATGGCTACTGCCTTCTAGAGTTCCCCAGCGCAGATAAAATAGACTCTCAACTTTTCTCAGCTTCCTTCTTTTGCCAATGACACTTTTGCAAGCAAGAGGTTCTGGGCCAAATTTCACAGCCAAGCATTTCTCTCCGCTAACGTTTCCAGTGCAGCGTATGCTAACGGGCCCACAATCTTTAGTTCCTCAGAGACACCTGTGTGCATGAGCATCCAGCTACACTACAGTGGAACTTGTAGCCACGAGTTCAAAACTGGACCCTTTCCAACAAGCCTGCTCAACGTTAGGGCACGCAGTAGTGCTAGGATGACTCTTGGTTGTGGGGGCCTCACGGTGCAGTTCAGGTTGCTTAGCAGATGTCTCCGGTCTTAGCAATCAGAATAGCTGCAATGTAGTTCTCAAACATGTCTCCGCTCATTGCAAATTTCATGGAAAAAGAATCTTACCTGGATAGGAATTCCTACACAACACTCTCATTTGTCTATTTGCTTATTAATTTATGTATGTATGTATCTGTTGGTTGATTTATTGGACAGAAGTTTCAACTAGTTCTCTCACACACTGCCCATGAGGAATCAACTAGGTAAGCCAAACTAGTTTAACCTGGTTTGCTCTTCAGGACTCAGGGCTGCACTAGTATCATTCCGTATCACTTTGTTACCGCAACCTGTTTGCAGACCCCTGCATCACCGTCCTGGGTGAGTGACCTCTCTCAGTGTTAATGGATGCGTTTGCAAGCATCTTGGCACCTGAAGAGGCATGGAGCTGGGTCGCTTTCTCTTCACATCCTTTTGAGCTGCATAGCACACTAGGCTGTCCCGCCCATGTCTTCCCCGATACCTCTAGTGTCTAGCTGACACTAAATATGAAGAAAAATAGTTACTTCTCGGCCTCTTCTGAAGACTTTAGAACACATCCCTTAATATTTGTTTCCTGAACATTGAACCCTTGATGATATGTTTGCAATCAAACTTTATAAATAGTATAAACTTTCCCTAACTTATTTTATTACAGAATAAATTTTGTTGTTTGAGTATTTCCTATGTACATTTAAAAATTTGTCTTGAGCATTCCAACCTTTTAGCTTAGCATGTAGTAGTTAACTAGCACAGTGAGTTGCTTTATAATTTTCATGACATTTGAAGTTTCCCCCTTTTGATATTTCTGTGATTTTTATTTTTAAATATTTGCATATTTCAGAAATTCTATGACCCATGAAATAAAGAACTACCATTCTAGTCTTCCCTTGGAAGCTTTTCAGCTGTGTGAGAGAACAGAAATCCATTAAAAGTGCTGTCCTAGATAGTGTGAACTGTCAACTTGATTCAGCCTAGAGTCAACTGAAAAAGGAGTTCTCTCAATAAAGAGATCAGACTGCTCTCTGAGCAAATCTACGGGGGATTGTCTTAGCACTAATAGTCATAGACCGAGCCCACTGTCAGTGGCAGTATCCCCTGAGTGTGCAGCTCTAGGCTGTATCGGAGAACTAGCTAAGCATGAGGTATGTGAAGAAGCAAGCATCATTCCTCTGTGGTTTCTACTACAACTTCCTCCTTGATTCCCTACCCTGACTTCCCTCTATGATGCATGGTGACATGGAAGCCAAGCAAAGCCCTTATTTCCTCAGATTGCTTTTGGTCTGAGTGTTTATTGCAGCACCAAAGAGAAAGCTCAAAGAGACATACTTACTTGCTCCAGTAAACTTTTCCTTCCAGGGTCTGCATCTCACCAAGGATGGCAAGGAGAAGAGATGATTTCCCACACCCCACTTGGCCCACGATCATGGTTAACTGACCTACAGAAACAAAGCAGAGAACAGGAAGATGAGAAAGACTTTGTTTAGCCAAATAAAACCAAAACTTGGCCATGATGGGCATGCTGGGACTTTCAGCACTAAAAAGATAGACAGCTAGGAAGATCACTATAAGCTTCAGGCCAGCCTGGTCTACACTGCAAGTTCCAGGTCAATCTGGCCTACATTGCAAGTACCAGGACAATAAGAAACACATAGTGAGACCTTGGCTCAATCACTAAGAGCAAAAGCTAAATAAATAAATAAATAAATAAATAAATAAATAAATAAATAAATAAATAAATTCAGCAAAATAAGTTTTTAAAAAAGGATGACACATTTAGACAGGTCTCACATTTCCATCCCTAGCCCAGTTTGATAACAAGCAGTGGAGTAAGCAGCTCCTGCCCCTGTCTTTTGCAAAAGAAAAGAAAAAGTAAAATCTCTGAATCTGACTTACTACTTTAATTTCTTGAAAGATCTCCTTTGGGCTAGGCTGCCCTATAACTTGTTGTGAATTTCTGATCCTTCTGCCTCTGCCAGCTGAGTCTCATTGAAGACCTGTGCTTTAGTATTATTTAAATGGAAAGTAGCTAGTACTAACTAAAGAATAAAAGAAACAACTTCTTATACTATCAACACTAGTTCTAACTTCATTATTAAATTCAAACAGTAAAGGAGCAATTATGACAAAAGTCATAGTTGAGATAAAGTGATTTGTATGTTAGGACTCTGTAGCTTCTCACTTTGACCTCCACGTATGATAGAAAATGTCGATGCTACTGATCATCACACCAGGCTGAATAAATATTTCTACTCAGTTATTCAAACATTTTAAATAAAATTATTTTGACCATTCCAACGTATCTTGCTCTTATGGTGCTATTATAAATGCTATTGTATTGTTGATTTCCTTCTTGGGTAATTTGTTGCTTCTTGGGTAATCTGTTCAAAATACAGAAATAAAACTTAACCAAGGAAGAAGATTCTCACGTGGTAATAAAATTCATGCAGAAAACAGAGAGAGATGGAACTAACCCCAGGCTTAAATATTTGACAAACTAATATTATTACAACGTCCGTGCTTTCCAACACTATCTACAGACTCAGGATTCCACACCAAAATCATTCTACAAATGATACATTCCAAAGCCTCTGTGATCTGTGTAGTAACGGCATGTTGGGTGACAAAATGGAATGAAGAGCCGAGAACTAACACACATGTATCTGGTCACCTAATCCGCAGTAAGCACCTCAGGATCACACAGTGGGGAAGGAAACAGTGGTGATGGGCAAACCGAATAAGCACTTGCGAAGACTGGGCTTCAACTATTGGAGTCTACGGCGCCCTAAAGTCATCTCACAGTGCCATAAAGACCTAATGGTCAGTGTAGAAACTTCAAAACTCTCAAGGAAAGCAAAGGGGAGAGCTTCTTCATACTGATCTTGGCATGAACTTTTGCATTTTAAATGAAAACAAAATATAGTGAAATGGGAATACCTCAAAAATGTAAATGGTACAACAAAGGAAATGATGAGCAAAGAGAAAATGGCAGAAAACACTCACAAGCTTGTTACCTGGTAAAGCATTCATATTCAAATTTATAAGAATTTTCTACAGCTCAATAGGAGAGAAATAGAACATGAGCATTCAGCACAAAAAGAAAACGTTATGAAGGTGACTCAAATATTAAAAACAAAACTACCATACGGTTCATCAAACTCACCTCTCAGTGTCTCTACAAAATAATTAGAATTCAGATAGTCAAAGAAGTCTGTGCTCCCACACTCTCTGAAACATTTTTCATGGTATCAATACAGATAGAAATAATTAAATGTCCACTGACAGGGAAAGAAAGCATGCTACATACTTGTAATAAAATGTTCTTTTATCAAAGAAGGAATCCCTACTGTTTTCAACAACATAGATGAACCTTATGCTAAGCAAAGTAGGGCAGATATAGAAAAGAGAACACTGCATGAGCATTGAATATGGTTTCTAACAGTCAAACTCACAGAAGCAGAAACAGGAATGGTGGTTGCCAGTGAGCAGAGGAAGGGAGCTGTGGGGAAACTGTTGTTTAATGGATATAAAATTTCCAAAATACTTTAATGGCTGCTCTGTATGGTACCTAAATAACTTTAATCTGTGGCAGGATAGCTCAGGGTATGCTCTTCCCACAAAAGTTTATAAATTAATAGAAAAATAAAAGGAAGTGGCTTTTGGAAGTGGCTATGCATTAAGTTCTTGACTGCTATGATAGCATCAGAGGCCTAAGTTAGGCCCAAATTCTCCAAGCAGAAAGAAAGATGGTAAGAGCCATAGGTGTTGGATGACTTCAAGGAATCAGTACTTTCCAGCTACAACTGGGCAGTGGTACGTATGAACCCATAGTGGTTATGGCAGTACACACAAAACCAGCTCAAAATCCAGCCAGACAAAATCCTAGCATGTGGTAGGGAGGTAGACACGACATCCCACCACTAACTGAGGAGCTGTTAGCATTTGATGGCCACTGGGAGAGGGGGGCTCAGTTTTTTTTTTACTGATGTGACCCCTGGTAGATCAACCATACTTCAGGGCAGGCCCCACTCCCAAGAGTTGCTGAACAACAGACACTATTTGATGGATTTAGAAAGGAAGACAAAGGCTCAAAGTTATGGGAATAAGGGCATGAGGTTGAAGTTGGAAGATGGAAGTGAAAAATGTCCAAAATACAGCATAAAAAATCTACAAAGAACTAATAAAAACATTATTTAAAAAAACTCAAAATGAAATATTGTGGGATAATCTTTTTGTACACTTTGAACATGTATCGCTATTTAACTTTGCCTGCCAAGGCACCTTCTGATTGGTTTAAAAAGAGCTGAGTGGCCAATAGCTAGGCATGAGGGGATAGGTGGAACTTCCAGGGAGAGGGAGGAACTCTGGAAGGAAGAAAGGTGAAACTTGCCAGCCAGACATGGAGGAAGTGGGGTGCATGGTATTGAGCATGTATCAGATGTAACAAACTATGTGACAGAATGTAGATTAATACAAATGAGCTAATCCAGTTATAAGAGCTAGTTGGGAAGAAGTCTAAGCTAAGGTCAAACTTTCATAATTAATAAGAAGTTTCCATGTCATTATTTGGGAGCTGGCAGTCCAGAGAAAGCCTGGCTACAATGAACTATTAAGCAGATACAGCTATTGTAGATGAGTTGCATCTTAATAAAACTTAAAGGCAAGAAAATTAATAAGCAAATAAAATGATTAGATGGGTGATCCTGAATTGCTTGCAAGTGCCATCTGTTGTGGGTTATTTAAGCAAACTGTAAAGATTTATTATACCTTGCCTGTCTAGGGTACCTAATTGGTTTAATAGAAAGCTTAATGGCCCAATAACTAGGCAAGAGATGTTAGGCAGGATTTCTGGGCAGAAAGAGGAATTCAACGTTAGAATCTGGTACAGCAGAAGAAGAAAGCAAGACATAGGGGGAGTTGGACAGACAGAGTGGAGGAGAGGTAAAGAGAAACCAAGAATCCCAATTCCTTAAATACCTTGAATCACCAAGTGAGCAATAAATAACTTTTCCAAAGACACACCTTTTTAAATGACTGTCCAGTTTTATAATTTCTAGCTCACAGTGATATAGTTGCCTCGTGAGGAACCTAGTACGTATAAGTAACATAACCTTATGGTTATATCTTTCAAAACTCCTTTAACAGGCAGGAGAGATGGGAGACAGTTCAATGATTAAGCTTATTGGGACCAAAGTTCAGATTCCCAGAGCCCCAGTAAGTCCAGTCAGCCCTGGAGATGGAGACAGGACATTCCCAGAGTAGGATGGTGGAGACAGAACATTCTCAGAGCAAGATGGAGATAGGATGTTCTAAGAGCAAGACGATGGAGGCAAGGCATTCCTAGAGAAAGATGATGGAGACAGAGCAAGGTGAAGATGGGACATTCCCGAAGCAAGATGATGGGCATTATCAGAGGAAAATGATGGAGACAGGGCATTTCCAGAGCAAGCTGGTAAACCAGACATGTCATATCACTGAGCTCTGAGTTTAACTGAGAGATCTTGCTTCACTGAATAAGGTAAAAGATTAATTGAGGAAGATTCCAGACCTCAACTTCGGGTTTCCACATATAAGAACTCACCCCCTCCACACATATCCCCACACATGCAAAAATGTATGCACACATTCATACCACACACACAAATACACACAGACATGAAATGGAAACTAAATAAACATAAATAAATCCCCCCTTTCCACTTTTTGTTAGGCTCAACGATCTTGGAAAAAAATACGAAAACGTTTAAGTAACAGCCTTACCTGTTGGAATTCGAATGTCAATATTGGATAACGTAGCTAAACCACTGCCCCATGAAAAGTATCCATTCGTCACCTAGAAAGTAAGGATATAGGAATGAAATTAGGTGCACAGTACTAGTGAGCAGCTAAAGTGCAGCTCCTTTCTAGTGTTTAACATAAGCTCCAGCACACAGTGGCAGCCGAATCTGAGTTCTAAATGTTCGGTGCTATAAATGAGAAAGGAAAAACGGGAGACTGGAGAGATGGCTCAGCAGTTCAGACCACTTGCTGCTCTCAAACAGCTCCTGAGTTCAGTTCCCAGCACCCATGTCGCCTGACTCACAACCAATGGTCACTTCAGTTCCAGGGGATCAACTCAATGCCCTCTTCTTGCCTCTGTTAGCACTTACACACGTGCTACATTAAAACTAATATAGGCACATACACGTACAGACAGCAAACAAGTAAATGCAAACTTCTTAAAATGGAAACAATTCTATTTACTTGGCATGTACTAGAAAAAGAGGGCAGTGCTGGTGGCACCAGTGAAAGTAGGACAGAACTAAGACGTCTCTGGTGACAGATGTGACAAGCAACTGACGATGTCACAGCTTCACCTGAGTGTAAGAAGAAAAAATAGAGTCCGAAACCACCAGACAAGGGCCTGGAACGTGTACAGTCACCCTAAACAAGCAGCTGCCTGCTGACCATAGGCCAGGCATTGACCCTCACTGCCTTCGCCTGGCCTGGGGATCTAGGGAAGATGCTTCCAAAAGGGAAATGTTCCAAGACTCTGGCACACCAGTGTCAGTATTGGCCCCTCCCTGGGATTTGTCCCAACCATCAGTCTCCAGATGTGCCCCAAAGCTGGCATTTCTACCTGAGTTCTACCTAAGGACAGAGGCCAGGGAAGGTATAAAGTCAAGTTTGAAATTCTATCACTATGGAGCCCGAGAGGCTAAGTGAAGCCATAAGGTATATGTATTCATATTGGGTACCAATTCCCTCTCAGCTGAAGCATTCTATTGGGCAGGAAAGCTTATGGAGAATCAGGAATTTACAAAGGGGGTTCCTTCAAGACTCAAGCAATCAACAACTCACAAGTATCAGGAAGTATTTGAACCTTACAAGATTCACACTGCCTATCAACCCCTAATATTATCAACTAGTAAAGACTAAAGAGGAGTTGCTCCTACTTGTCCTGTTCCCTACAATTTTGTGCAGAGAGAGCCTGGGTTCCTGCTTTCCTGAGTCATCACCCATTCTGGACTGGATGTAGTTTTTTGGGTCATCCATGGTCCTATAAGTAACCCCTGACCCATACTCCTGTAAGTAACACCACTAGACTCATTGGTTCACCAAGTTGGACCTTAATGGTGTTGTTACATTGGTCTGTCATTAGCTTTCTGTCTTTGGTGCATAGACATTTGTTCAGATCTCCCTAGAAATAGTGCCATGCAGCAACTAGCTTTTCTTTTTAAAAATGGAACTATGAAATACTGGTATTTTCTACAAGTCAGTTTGGATGTGAGTCTTGGAGGAATGAGTTAAATACTAACTTCTGATAGATTTGGGGGAAAAAAGCTCTTTTCTGGGTACCAAATACAATGATGAAACAGAACCTGTGGTCAAGAGATGAAAAAAAAAGAATAAACTCAATAAAATATGCGTTAAAGATTGTCAGGCCTGTGGTCACAGAAAGGAGGCCCTGCAGACACATTTGGGACACTTTTACAGACGTCAGCCTGGAGTGTCACCTAAGTGGTCCACTTGCATAAGAACGTAACAGATGAACTAACCTTTATTGCGATATCCTCTGTCTCTGGCGGCCGAAGACGACGTGGTTGCTCGTAGTTGTCCAGGTGGTATCTTCCAGGCTGCTTCCTGTTTATTGGTTTTGATTGCTGTGTTCCAAACAGAAACGGACAGAAGTTGAAGCGTTATAAAAACATTGAGATTTTTTACCAAATGTTCACTCAGATTGCTATTTCACTTCAATTCCAAGAAAAACAAGCAAAACGAGTGTCAAATTTTAGTCTCTCCTATGGCTACTCCACAAGAGCAAACAGTGAAAAAAATATTTAGCTAACTTTAAAGCTAATTAACGGACCTCTTGGGAAAGCTGAAAAATGAATATGAAGTGCTTGCGAATGGTGGTTGCTCGAGTGCTGATCCCTAGAACTTGTTGGCTTCAGTCTAGTCCAGGAAAGCTGAGGCCCTGGTTCAGTGAGACCTTGCCTCAGAGAACAGGCACAGTGTGAGAGTGGTACCCTCAGCAAGCCTCTCTGTATGCATAGGCTTGTGAGCCTACCTATCCATCCACACACACACACATCACTCAGACACAAACGTACACAGACAAATAAATATTTTTAAACCCTGTGTACTATAAACTGGCTGATCAGATTCACCCTGAGCAAATTGCAATCCATCTGGAAGAACCATCATACTCATAAGCAAACATCCCAGAAGGACATTTATGGATCATCTTTGGAGAACCATGAGAAGTTTAAATCTGATATATGTATGTAAATCATACTAAGCTAGAACACACCCAAGAGTCTCTTGTGGACTGTCAGGAGAACAAGACCTATGTGTACACAAAGGCAGACAGTGCATCACCAGGAGATCCATAGGAGCTATAATGTGACAAGATCTGCTTGAAATATAGTACAGTTCTTTGTCATCAGACAGACCTATCCACTGCAAGGAAACCAGCAGCAGTAAGAGGCAGAGGATGTCTTTGCCCATAGAATACTTGTAAGCAGACCTGAGTTTGATACCCAGAACCCTAATTTTTTTTTAAATCTGGATATGATGGCGGGACTTGCAATCTCAACATTGAAGAAATTTGAGATAGGCCAGCTCAACTCCCATGAAGCATTCTAGGCCAAGGAAAGTCTGTTGAAAAGCAAGGTGGATGGTACTCAAGAAATGACAGCTTGGTTTGTCCTCTGGTCTCTACACACAGGAGTTCACAAAGTATGCACACACACAGACACACACACACAAAGACAAACATGCGCACACATACATAGGTACCTGCTTTGGGACAATGCTCTAGTACCCTGTGAAGTTTTATTGTACTGATTTAATAAAATGCTGATTAGCCAATAGCTAGGCAGGATGTATAAATGGGTCAACTAAGTAGGAAATATAGGACCGGTGACCAGAATAGGAGAATTCTGGGAAGAGGAAAGATTCAGTCTGCAGTCATCACCCAGACGCAGAGATAGCAAGATGAGAATGCCTTACTGGTAAAAGGTACCAAGTCACATGGCTGACACAGACAAGAATTATGGGTTAATGTAGGATGTAAGCCTGAATAAGAAGTCTGAGCTAATAATCCAGCCAGTTTATGATTATTATAGACCTCTGTGTGTTTCTTTGGGACAGAAACCTCTGTCAATAGGTACATACAAACACACACAAGGGCTGGATAGATGGCTCAGTTGTTGAGAGCCCAGGTTGCTCTTCTAGAGGACTTGGTTTTGGCTCCTAGCACCCACATAGAAGTCACAACTTGCTGTACCTCCATCCCTCTTCTGGCATATGTGGGTACTACACACATGTGCTGCACAGACATACATGTAGGTAAAACACCTATATGCATAAAAAAGATTTAAAAAATTTTAGATCAAAAAAGCTCAAAATTTGTCTATAAATTTAACAATGAAGTACTTCCCCATAAACAATTATATGCCTCATTCAACTACCTTGTAGAGATAAGTAAGGTTAAAATGTAACAGTTTGAAACTGTTAATTTGCCTAGAAAAGCAAATGATTCTAGAAGCATGAAGCTTTTAAAAACATTCCTGCCTGAAATTTCAGGTTTAACATTTATAAAAAAAAAAAAAAAGAAGATAACTTCTATGAGAACTAACAATGTCTGAAAATAATCAGTAGTTTAATCCAAACAAGACATTGCCTTTCCAACTTCCATCAACTGATGTCCCAAAAGAACATCAGCCATCAAGCAGAAAAAAATGCCAAGGCTTCATGGGAGCAGCACAAACCAAAATCTCAGTAAGAAAATAGACAGTAGAGAATCAGCCGAGGTTAAGCCATCTAGAAAGCACTGTACACACACACACACACACACACACACCTTGCTTTAAAAGAGGATGGGGTGATGAAATGTAAGGTTAGTTGTATGTCCTTTCCAAGGTTCTCACAGACAACACTGGAGGCACAGTGCATGGAACATTCTGAAATTATCACAACTCTTTAGGGTAGATATACATTGCATGCTAGTAGATCTGAACCTATACTTTAGCCTCACAGTCTTCTAGAGTCATGAGGACTGTGGTAGTGCTGCCCCAGAGGCCCAGAAGGATGACGTCATACTCTTCCTGAAACCAAGGCGAGGCCGACAAGTAGAGATGTGTTGACAGACACTTGAGTTACAGCTCCACAGATGTAACTTGAAGAGACTTTGGCCCTAGAGCACCATCAATTCTCTGTGGCAATGCTACAGCCAAAACGACTCAACTCTAAGCTCTCACAGAATATATAGCTTCCCAAGTGCTCTCAAAAAGGAGTTTCCATCAGTATTGTTTTCAAGCACACGCCATTTTTTTTTTAAAAGCTTGTCATTGTGGTTTGGGCCATCCACAGTGATGAATGACTCTGGAAGGCACTAGAAGTCCAACCTGGATTCAATAACTGAAGATATTGGAAGGATCTGAAGGAGATTCTCTTTCCTTCCAACAATCTCTTTGCAGTGTAATTTTACTCCTCTGCCTCATCTTGTACAGAAAATAACTCTTCAGATATCTCCAACTCCATGAACTTGATCTCCCCTTTCTTTGAGGTCATTTTGCTCCGCTCACTCTGCCTTTCTAGAAAAAAGGTCTAATGCATTCTCTGGGAGATGAAAATCAACAAAAGTATGAGGACCTGGTTCTAATCAAAGATTTGATTTCTTTCTCTTAAAAAGTATAGATACACTTGAATATATTTTTAAAGATTTATTTTATTTGTGTGTATGTACAGGTTTGTGTAGGTGCAAATAGAGGCAGAAGAGGCCATAGAGGGTGTCAGATGCCCTGGAGATGGATATACAAGTGATTATGAAGTGTCCAACTTGGGTGCTGAGAACCAAACTCAGATTCTCTGCAACAACATCGAGTATTCTTATTCTAAGTGAGTCACCTTTCTAGCCCCCAAGAATTTCTTATGTGGTCTATGCAGAGATGCAACCCCTGACCTGCAACACTATAAACTCCCTGCTTTAACCTGAACTAGCTGTCCATTCATGTGCATTTGGACTTAGGCACATGTCCACGTAATATCAAGCATCCTTTGTTGGCCTTGCTATGCAATATAGACAGGCATACATGGCAGTTATTTCTCAAACAAAAATCACACCTGTTCAATGTTGACCTGCTCAACCTAAAAAAGGGTTCTTTTTATTTAGCTACAGAAAAGCAAAAAAAAAAAAAAAAGTACATAAAATTCTCCAACATAATCCACTCACTAGAGTACAGACTCAGGGATTTTCCTTCTAAAATCCCCATTTACTACCTACAGTGTCTGGGCTCAAGTTCTGCTTTCTCCCCACAACTTTCTTTGAAAATCAAACAGAAAACAACCACTTTTTTGCTTTGTCCTTTTTCTTTGTTAATAATAAAAATATATTATCCTGAAATGTTAAAAAAAATTCAAACACCTGGCTTAACTGTTTTTTTTAGCAATTTTAAACTCATTATGAAGAAAATTTTAATACAGATGGATTTCCTGGCAAAGACCTTCTGAGTTCTACTCATCCTCACTATTTCTGCCTCCCATTGCACCCGCATTTATAATGTGGATGCTGTGGGTATCAACTCAGGTCCTTATGCTCCATGACTCACTTTACAGAAAGAGCCACCTCCACAATCAAAGAACTGTTTCCCCCAGACCCATTGACTTAAAGCTTATCTCATGGCCTATGTGTCGTAATTTCCACCTCCGATGCTGATGTTTCTTCTTGGACAACAGGAAGTGTTGCAAAAATCAACTGTAAAAGACACACATCTTGATCTTACCCTAATGGCAATTGCCTCTCTTAATCAGTGCCCTGTTTCAGTGAATGGCTCTACTTTATACCCAACAGTCAGCCAATCAGAAAGCTCCCATTCTCGAGTCTTCTTTCTTCCTGGTTGCCATCTAATCTTTCAACACATTTTTATTAACTGAACATAAAAAAGGCACAGAGGGTTCTGGAGGTGTAGCTCAGTGGTGGAGGGTTTGTTTAGCATGGGTGAGGTCCGGGTCAGTCCTGAACAACACACACATGCAAACACATTTGCACACATGCACACACACACACACATGCACAGAAAAAGAGAGAGAGACAGATAAAATACTCTGAATTAAATCGCTTCTTTACCATGTTCACCATGACTGCAACAGAATCCAAATTCTAGCCATCATCTCTTGCTTGTGTTAGTATAACCACCTCTACTCACCTCTCAGTTCCAATTTTCGCCCAGCCTAACTTATTTCTCTAACTAACCAAAGCTAACTCTGAAAAAAAAATGAGTAAAATTGCACCGTGCTTGTAATCCCACCATTTGGGTGTGGACATGGAAGGAAGAATAGGTATTCAAGGTTATTCTCAGTCCCACAAAGGTCCAGGAAAATCTAGGATGCATGAGATACTATCTCCCAACCCAAAAACAAACAAGTAGCCTTGTCCAATGGTTCCTACCACACATCTGTAAGAGCGCATTCCTCCCTGTGTTCTACAAACCCCCATCATTATCATAACTGCTCCTCATCTCCTTCTTTTTCACAGACTCCAAACCTTCTGCCCTCTGCTCTTCATATAAACCGAATCAATCCACCACTGCAGCCCTTCACATGTGCTAGCCTTCCTGTTCCCAGTGTCCCCCCTGGAAAACACACATCTGTGTTCTTCAGGTCTTGGCCCAAAGACTGGCTCCTCGCAGGGACCATCAGGTGAAGGGCCACCATAATGTAGTACCCTTTCACTTTTTCATGTCCTTTTCATGCAAGAAATGATTTTGTAATTCAAACTAATCTATCATTTGATTCCTGCTGCAAGAAAACACAGCATGCTGGGAGAGACCTCATGTGCCTTGTTAGGAGCGACGGTCTTCTAGCTCTTGGCATTAAATACAAGGGAGCCAGTGAGTCTGGAAGCCTGGTGAACACATGACAAGTGGTTGATTTCTACTGCATGTGACAAATGTCCAAACAGAACTGACAGCTTCCAGACATTCTGCAACTATTGAGTAAACATTTTTGGTGAGGATGAGTGAACCTGCTGGGTTACACATGCCAAGACTCAGGTGAAAACTCTGGTTCTGATCCTTCTCATCTATGACTTTGTTCAAGCCACTGGAGCATGCAAAGCCAATGTATTCAAGTGAAAATAAAAACAGTTAACCTGCAGTGATATGTTAAGTTAATCAAACTAGCTAATATATTAAGCAAAAGTGTCTTAAACTAGAGTGTATGCTGGAACTAAAACACCTCCTAAGAATGTGGGTAAGAAACAACTTCTCAATTCCCTTTGCAATCAAGCAGGGGGTCATTCTTTCACAATTTATAGAGGTTATATTTCTTTATCTATTGATTTGGGGCACATGAGGATTTGTTTTTGTAGAAGCAAATAGCCATTTTTCTTCTTGTAGATTTAAACAAATAAAGCTTACAGTTTTTTTCTAACTGCGCCTATATTAAAACATATTACTTGTTTGGCCTGTCCTTTGTATAGCAAGACTTACCACTCCAGTGTGCTTCTTGCAGGACTCAAAAGGCAGTGTGCCCTCCCCAGTCCTCCAGCTGTCCTCACCAATCTCATCACTCAAGAGAAACTCATTCAACTTTTGAACACTGCAGAGAGAAACCAGGAAACACTATGTCAGGATACCAGGTAAGACAGTTGTCTATGAAGAGCACTGACTTGTTCAATCTGGGACTTCGTTACCAACATAGGCCCTGAAAGTCACAGCACTAGACTGTCTTAGGAAATGGTATGCTGTCCATCTTGAATGTCAAGCATTCCTTTTTGATGTATGCATGGTGTAGCTGCCATTGTGCTCTGGTGTTTTAAACGGTGTGGTCTGGAGAAATAGTCTTGTCAACTACAGGAATATCCCTTGTGCACACTCAAGTTGTACCTCCGGACACAAGGGCAAGTGCCTAGACCAGACTCATGAGTCTAACAATGCCTGGCACACACTGTTATAGAGATGGTTGCTCAATTGTCAAAGAATAAACAGACTAATGATTCACGCACTATAGCTCATGGGTCCAGTTCTGCATTCCTCCCTTGTAGTATGCACACAAATCTCACTGAAGTTTTTATGGAATACATAAGCCTAAATGTTGCGGAACATTAAGAAGCCATAACTTCTCAGCTACTCTGGGAGTGGAGAGAACTTTCTCTTCTCTGTGTACCATCCTGTCCTTGCTAGCTTTCAGCTGTCAACTTGAGTCACCTGAGAATGGAGTCTCCATTGGAAGAGTTCCTAGATCAGATTGACCTAAGAGTGATTGCCTTGGTTGATTGACTGGTGGGAGAGTCTGCAGAGATTACCTTGAATGACTTACCTGGGGGTGAGTCTGTGAGGATTGCTTTGATTGACCTGGGGAAGAGTCTGTGGGAAGTGCCTTAACTGATTAAGAGCTAATCGGTGGAGATTGTCTTGATTGACTGACATGTGGGGGATTCTGTGGGGATTGCCTTGATTGATTGACCTATGGGTGAGTCTTTGAAGATTGCCTTGATTGATTGACCTGTGGTTGAGTCTGTGGAAATTGCCTTGATTGCTTGACCTAGGAAAGAGTCTGTGGGGATTGCCTTGATTGATTAGCCTGTCAGTTAGTCTGTGGGGATTGCCTTGACTGTCAGTTGATGTGGGAGGGTCCGGACCACTGTGGGTAACCACCCTTGGTAGGTGGCCCTGAGCAGATTAAGGAAGCTGGCTAAGCATAGCCCCCCCCCCAAGTTCAGCCAGCAAGCAGTGTTTCCCTACAACTGATGTTTTAAGTTCCTGCCTTGACTCCCCTCAATGATAGACTGTGATTTAGAACAAATAAAGCTGCTTTCCTCATCTAAGTTCTCTTGAGTTTAAATATGTATCCTGTCTGTAACACAAATTCTAATTGGTCTTCATAGATAAAACCCAGAGTAAGATATTAGGGGGTGAAGGCTGAAGGATCAGAGAAGCAGCGTGGCTAGCCACTAGAGAGACATTTTACCTCTACCAATGTTCAGACCAAAGGGGCAATACTGTCCTCAGACTGTCTCCTCAGACTGCAACTGTCTCCACCAAGCCTCAGACTGCTCTGAGCTTCTGTCTCCTGCCACCTTACATTCTTCTCTCCACCCAGCCATATCTCTTCCTGTCTCTACCTCCCTAGTGCTGGGATTAAAGGTATGGGACTCCCAAATGTTGGGATCACCTTTGCGTGAGCTCTGTTTCCCTATTAAACAGATTCAATCTCCTGTAGCCCAGAGTGGCCTTGAACTTACAGAGTTCAAGAGTCCCTCTGCCTCTGTCTCCGGAGTCCTGGGATTAAAGATGTGTGCCACCCACCACTCCCTGGCCTCTAGTGGCTTTAGCTCTGCACTCTGATTGCCAGGCAAGCTTTATTTGTTAAAACACAAACAAAATATAACTACATATGTCAACAGAGATGAAGTTAAGACATATGTACATAGATTGCAGTGCTAAACTTACTCTGAACCTCCTGGTAACCTTCCTTTAGGCAAGTGGTTCTTAGCCTGTGGTTTTACAACCCCATTGGGGGTAGCATATCAGACATCCTACATGTCAGATACTTACATTATGACTCAAAGTATGTAACAAAGTTACAGTTAGGAAGTGGAGATGAAATAATTTATGGTTGAGGGTCACCACAACATGAGGAGCTGTAGTAAAGGGTCGCAGCACTAGGAAGGTTGAGAACCACTGCCCTACACTCTCTGGCTGAAGGTCCCACATATTACTGCATCATCATAACTTTGGTATTTATGTGTTATTTCTATCTCTCCCATTAGACTATGAACTCCTTTTAAAGGAAACCTCTCCATCCTCTGGGGCTGTCTTACTGTGTATATTGTGAGTCCTCTGTGATGTTGGTGAGAGGATAAGGGGCTAGTAAACAGCAAAAGCATCTCCTGGTTCTGTGAGGTCCTTTCAGGAACCACTGAGGCAAATAACTATGGAAAATGCACAAATCCTGACCAGGGAGAGGTAGCTTCAGCCAAACTACCAGGGTTCTCCTCTACACTGTGAATCTACCAGTATAAGACGCCCCTACCGGGGTTCTCCTTTACACTGAGAACCCACCAACAGCCCCTCTTAGATCACAAATGGTGCAGCACTTCCCTGCCTTTCAACATCTTCCCCACGGTCTTCCAGCCTTATCCCCCGATAAGTCTAGTGTCAGCACCATTGCTACACACACACAAAATCACCTTTGGCCCCCCCAAGTGCACAAGATATCTACCCACTCTGATAAAATTCATTTCCCTCTTCCTCTGACTAGTCAAAAGCTACTTATCCTTTTTAGAGTTAGCAGGTATGGTCCTACCCTCCAAACTATCATGAACAAGACGGCCTCCCTTTCCTCTAAGTGAACTGATAGTTATCTGCAGTTCATGTCATTCTGTGTATAGGGGTTCATTTTGCTTTCTGGCCTTTCTAAATCCACGGTGGACTCTCCACTTGTGGCCATTCTATCTCTCTTCTTTACAGTTATTAATGCGACCCCAAGAGAATGAAGACCCGCCTAAAATGCTTGGACATTCAATGATAATAAAGGAGGCAAATGAGTAAACTGAGATTTATAAAATAGATCTACTTATTTAGAAAGGGTTCTGGGCCATTTCTATGCAGTGTCATGATTTTATCAACCTTCAGAAGCAAGTGATATTACGGTATTCATTTGATAAATGGGAAAACTGAGCCTCAGATACAGTCAGACAACATATTTGAAGTTGAACAATAAGTACTTTGTGCCTAGAATTTGAAAGTCAGCATGTTTGATACAAACAAGCTTACTGGCCTTCCTTCACCACTGTTTTCTAAGTTCAGTATTTCACTAATGTCTCATGTGTTTAGGGAACTGACAGACGTGCTCACAGTTTTACATTTGTCACATTACTTTGGCTTTTGAACAAAATATGTATTTTACCTTTGATTATGTGTCTATTATGGGCATGCAAGTGGAGGACAGGTGCCAGGGGAGGCCAGGAGAGGGTGTTAGGTCCCCTGTAGCTGGAATTACAGGAGGTGGTGAGTTGTCTAACATGGGTGCTGGAAACTTACTGTGGATTGTCTAGAAGAATAGTATGCAACCTTAACCTCTGAATCACCCTCCCAACCCGTCAAATATGTTGGACATTTAGGTGCAACTTGAAAAACCTTGAACAGGTGTTACAGTAATGAAGAATAATTAATTTTTGTGGCTGATAGCTGTATGTTTTTTAATAGAAGATTATAAAGTTTTGTTAACTGAAATCCAGAGACCTGGCCAAGGTGTAAGCATGCTTGATTGAGTATCAGTAATTATCTATTTCATAGATGGTGATGTAGGAGACTTGCCGAGCAGAAACATCTCTGAGAGGCACACGAGAGAAAAGACAATGTTTGTTGTTGTTACTTTCCCCTGAAAATGAGAGGGTTCTTTAATAACGTTTTTCTCCCCTTTGGCAACTAACGTCTTTGGACATAGTCACATTACCTATCAAATACTAAATACCGATAAGGAATACTACATAGTCTGCTCCAGAAGGGCCAGACACATAAATTATTTCTAAGAAGGTGGAGAATAAGGTTTACCATTCTGAAAAAAATCAGTCTTACTCAAATCTCAAATACTTTTTGTTTTTGAGACAGGGTCTCAGGGAGCCCACGTTGCTCGGAGCAGAGTGTAACCTTGAACTCCTGATCCTCCTACCTCTTCCTCCCAAGTCCTTGATTGCAAGCTTGTGTCACCATGCCTGCTCCTTTTATAAGAACCTTAATTTTTAATTTTATGTGTAGAGGTGTTTTGCCTGCATGTACATCTGTACATCACTACAAGCCTGGCATCCACAGAGGCCAGAAGAAGATGTTGGATCCCCTGGAACTAGAGTCAAATTTGAAATAGCAAGTGACATTTCTTTTGTCTGTTTTGTAACACTGAAAGTGAAACTCAAACAGGGTGGGATGTTAGACGCTGCGCCAAGACAACCTGGGTCACGTGTGCCTCTTTGTTCCATTTTGTTATAAACATACTAACAGGTACATTGCATGTGTGCATGTGAACATGATCTACCCAATGAACATAACAAGGCTACCTGGATATTGATAACAACTCTTTCAAAAGAAAGTGTGGGAGTTGTCCTGGAGCTGGAAATTCTATACTGCCTTGCATATTCCTCCAGTGAAGAGGTTTCTCATTTTCTCTCATGCATACATAGCAGAAGTTCAACCCATTGCAATCCACCAAGTGTCTTAATATATTTAAGAATCCAGTAAAGAACTTGTGACTTCTAGAGTCCTGAAGAGGAGATTTCAAAATCAGATGACCAAAGTCTCCCGCTATAAACAGGCGGCTCAGCTCACTGCAAGCCAACTGGCATTTGAGATTGGTCACGGGTTCCCAGGCACTGAAGCAAATGCAGAGGCCAGTCAACACTGGGAAAATACTTTTTTGGGTTCCCAGAACCAGAACCCAGTGGGAAAAAAGTCTGGCCACTTCTGTTGACCCACCGTCTTTGTAGGATGTCTTTGCAAATCAACGCTGAATGTCATTTTAGAGAAGTGAGCTTTTAGAAGAACATTCTGTTTGGCTTGTGGCTTGGGGAAGCTGGCTGGGGGCCCTGAAAGTACACTGGGCTTTATCAAACTGGTGAATGCCTTTTCCCCAGGAGGGATAAAGGAAGAGGGTGATGAGAAATCCACAGAGGGCATTACCACCTTCCACCGCACTAAGATTTACTTGCAGGATTGTAATGCTAGATTTGAGGAAGGGCCCCCTTCATCTTTTTCAAATCAACTGTCAAAGTCCTTTTAATGCTTGGCAAGCTTCTTGTTTCAAAAGCATGATATGTTATGAGTTATAGACTGCTTTTTATTTCGACTTCTAGTGCAAAGTCAAGTTTCAGTTAATTAAGACTGCAACCATGGAAGGGACGGCCGTTAAATGGAGAAAATGAAAATAGGGACCAAAATAGAAGACGCTGGCTATTTATCAATTTTATTGTTTGAAGTGGCTTCCCTTCCAGAGTGCTGCCTAATTTGGAAGGCTGACTTCGAGCTACAGTCTATCTGTGTAAGCCATCCAAAGGCAGAACAATGGAAAAAGAAACGAGGGTAGCCGAGGTCAGAGGGTCGGAGCTCCAAAGCCCAGCAGCTCTGGAACAGTTACTGAGAGCCTGGCTCAGAGAAGACTGAAACTCTCTTAGGATTCCATCTCCTCTACCCACCCCCTCATAACCTGCCGCTTTTCAGAATAGCTCATCTGCATTGGATTGTTACCTGGTATTTAGTCACTGGCAAGTCGATATAAAGCGTTGCCTACAACCAATGCACTGAACATCAAATGCTAGGTTTCTCAGTCATGTATGTGCCTTGTGGAAATTGTTTGATTTTGAAATGTTCTACATTGCTGCTGATGGTGGAATGCACCCTTAAGGGCTCATATTCTCTTCAGGGTTCAAACATGTAGACATATCTTTCAAGGGTCATATATAAACGCAACAAAAGCCATTTGCAGCAAATGCAAAGATTCTATAAGGCATATAAAGACTGCAAAGTGAGAGTAACATATGACTTCCAGACTGGCTTGTTTAAAATATGGTTGAGAACAGCAGGTGGAGACACAGACGGCACGAGCTGTCTTGTCAACGTAGCTGTGTGTGTGGTACTAATGGAAGAAACGGGAAATGGCCACCATCTTTTGACACCTACTTTTGTAGCTGTTCGTTATGGGAAATTATAACCAAGACAAAATCTCCCCTGACCTGAAGCCTACTTAAAAGAGAAAAGTTTCAAGTCTTTGTATTTTCAAAAAGTAGGAACTGGCCTCATTTCTTTTCTTTTTGGCCAATTTAACTAAAATCCATACAGCATACTCTGTTGATTCAAAAATATTCTATCCCTGCAGGTATACTTACAGATCGGTGAAGCTTCCGCGAAACATGATGACCACATCATAGACATTAAATATACATGTAAGCTTTGACCTATATCAATTTGATGAAAAGCATGTTTGCCATCTTCATCAAGAACCTTTAAGATACTACCAAAACTAGCACCATCGCTTAAAGAAATCTGACCGAAGCAACCACCAGAGAAGACTGCAGAGATAATGGGAGAGTTTGCCTTGATATCAAGCATGTGGGGGTGGGGAAAGAAAGACAGTCTAAATGCCCAGTAGAAGGCCAATTGTTCAATAAATCAGACTGCTTCTAAGAATGGACTATGGCATGGCCAGGAAGGTTCCTCCTGCAGCAGATGGGAACAAATATAGAAACGCACTGCCAGACATTTTTCAGAGAGTGTGAAACCTCGGAACACTCAGCCCCAAATGGAATGTCTCCACCAACTCCCTCCCCTCAGAGTCCAGGGAACCCTGGGGAGAAGGATGTATGAGGACTGTAAGTGTCAGAGGGGATGGAGGACACCAGGAGATCACGGCCCTCTAAATCAACATGAGCCGAGCTCGTAATCACTCGGAGACTGAAGCAGCAAGCACAAGGCTGCACGGGTCTGCACCAGGTCGTCTGTGTACATATTATGGCTTCCAGTTTAGGGTTTTTATGGGACTCCTGAGTGTGTAAATGACTGGGTCTCTGATTCTTGTGCCTTCTCTTGGGTTCTTTTCTTTCTGTTGGTTTGTCTTATCCAACTTCAAGGTGATAGTTTTTGTTTTATCTTATATTTTATTTTGTTATATATTTAAAAATAAATGAATGAATGAAAACTTATCCACTGGAATAAAGGCCCACAACTGAACTGTCACTTGTACCTACTAAGAAAGGTAAAATCAGTTTTCTCCAACAGTATGATACCGTATGTATCAACCACTCTATGAATAGCCTCATGTTCAGGGGCAGTTGACCAACATATAGTGGCCTCCATGGATTTTTGTTTCTTGTTGTGTGTGTGTGTGTGTGTGTGTGTGTCTATGTGTGTATATATGTGTGTGGTTTATTTGGATACAATCTGGTGCTTTTTGGTGTGGTTTTATTATTGTTTTTTTTTGTTTTTGTTTTTGTTTTTCTTGTTGTATTGGACTTCGGTTTGTTTTTTGAGAAAGAACTTATAGTTAGGTCAGGGAAGGATCTGGAAGGACTTAGGGGAGGTAAAGAATATGATAAAAATAATTTAAATTTAAAAATTGTTTCAAATAACAAAAAAGTATAATAATAAAAAGGAGAAAACTAAGGAGCCAAAAATCTACAACAGTTCCATATGAACTAAAACACTGAACATTAACATACTCAATTTCTAACAGTGGAAATCATCTTTAAGGTTCCTTTTGTACTTCTGCAAGTTCGCCAGCATATTATTATGCTGTACACATATTATTTACTCCATTAATGAGCAAAGAGACCCAGACAGTTCAGTGCATACCTGATGATGGCTTTGACCGCAAATCTGACCACTGTGGACAGCAGGAAGAGGGGTGTGACCAGGATATGGAAGAGAGACAGGGAGGCAAAGGCCTCTGCAGGCTTCAGGTTGTTTCCACTGGCATACGCATGCGTCACAAACGTCTGCACATACACACAAAAAGGTTTATTAGAAAGTCCTGGAGAAAGTGACACACAAAGACATTCAACCAGTCTATCCCAACATACCCTACTGTGCTGGCATGTCCATTGGAACCATGAAAAATACTGACTCCAAACTCATGACTGAGACAATACTAGCCATGGGTAAAGACACAGTGATCTGTACATAATCCTAGCAGTAAACTTGCAAGACAGACAAGACAGTCTATTTATAGAACAGGATAGTGACTTCTCTCAAATTACTGTCTATGGAGGAATAAACTGAACAGAGAACTCAGAGTCCCCAACACCCAGCCAGATGCTTTCCAAGCAACTCAGAGTCGCTATTCTAAGCAAAGAGAGTGGTCTAACATTTAAAGGTCTCTGCTGTACTAAAATTCCAATGCCACAGTCCAGTGAAGACTTATTCTCATCTTTAAACACTATATAGAGAAATAGAATGTAATTACTTAACACATCCTTACTGCTAATGTGAACCATTTTGTTGTAAGAATTATGAGACCAGGCCACTGTAATGAAGATGGATACTTTCCAACCACTGTTAGTTTTAATCACATTCACCCACATTTGGGAATAGGTTTTATTGTCATGGTTGGGCAAGGTACTGACATCTAGTAAATTTGAAGCCAGGGACACCACTATTTATACAAATGCTAGGGATATCTCCTTACAGCAAAGAACTGTCCAAGCCAAAGTATCGTGCTGTTGGGACTGAGTAATTCTGGACTAGAACCATTGGACTGGAAACTACAGAGAAGGAAGTGATGTGGGTAGTAACAGCCATGGCCACCCACACATTTTCTGTGAGATGTCATTCATGAGCACTGATCTGCTTCTAGTTCTAAAAGCAAAAAAAAGTGTCTTACTGCAAGAACAGCCGCGATGGGAATTGCTGCATTCATGAAGACTGCGGAAAAAAATCAAATGTGTTATTTCAGTGCGCTGTGCAAATGTTTTCTCCACTTAAATTAATCATCCACTATTACTTTAATGCTTCATGAAGACAAGAATGGAGAGTATGTTAGTAGCATTCTGTCTGGACTCGCCAATATTCCCCAGGTGCTTTCTCCTCATCTCTGGTTATGTGAGTTCCCACATACACATTTTAGCCAGAAAGCTCTAAGCAACAGAATTCAGATAAAAGGATCCTTTGATGAGGCAAATCGTTAGAATTTTTAAAATGTGTATTTTGAGAGCATGTACAGGTTAGAGTTTATTAGGTCTACTGAAACTTGGTTATTATGCAGATGAAAAATGAGAATTTGACATTACTTTATGCTCAGGGTCCAATAGGGGTTATTAGCTTTCACTTTTAGACCTTTCAGTTAATAAATAATTTTATTTCTTCACCCCTCCTTAAACCATAAACACAGAGTCAACACTGGGGCAACTCAGAATTTTAGACAAAAACTCTGAAGGGGTTTAGTGGTTTAGTGTAGTATGTTTCTCTTCTTTCTTTCTTTTTTCTTGTTTTGTTTAAAGATGGATTGGTTTATTTTTAATTTATGCCTATGTACTTGTGCCTGAGTACATAGTATGTGCATTATATGTGTGCAGCTGACTGAGGAGGCCAGAAGAGGGCATCGGATTCTCTGGAGTTAGAGTTACAGATGGTTGGTTGTAAGCTGCCACAGTGGGTACTGGGAATTGAAACCAGGTCCTCTGCAAAAGCAGTAAATGTTTTTAACTTCAGGCCCTGTTTTTATTGTTGCTTTAGTCTATTGACATGGTGTCACTTTATAGCTGAGACTGGACTTGAATTCACTATGTAGCCCAGGCTGACTTGACCATCAAGGCAATCTTTCTGCCCTAGGTTCCCAAAGTCTGGGGCTATGGCCATATGCCACCAAAAATATTAGTGTTTGAGTCATAGTAAAGCCAGATAGATGATGGTTCGTTAGGATCCTTCTTGGAAACCACAGGGCTTTATCAAAATCTTGCACCATTGTCATATAGATACAAGACCCAATGAGTATAAAGACTTCTCACGACACCCAAAATAGAATGTGCCCTCAATGTTGACTATAATTCCATTTCAAAGCAGAAGCAAATAACATCACAGTGATCTAAAGTCATTTATGGTTTGAGAGAAAGCAATGCATAAACCTTCCAATTTCTAAGTCATTAATGACTTTTGAGAACAAAACAATGCACAAATCAAATCAAGTAAGAGAGGGTGACATTTGACTAAGCATGTATAAACTACACTAATGTAAACCCATTATTCTAGACAACACTGAGTTTGTACTGAAGATGGGAACAGTATGTAAACCTTCTCAAGAACACACTAGGGAAGCAGATGGTGAGGCCATAAAGTCTGACTTCTTTCACTTGACGCATTTCTCCTCCTTCATTTATTCTTCTGGAAAGCCTATCAGAAGCTCCCTCCAAAACAGATAACATAAGCAAGAGTGGGAGCTTTGAAATGATTTAGAGATGGACATTAGCAAGATAGTCAAATCAACTTCAGAAATAGCTCCCGTTTTACTGAGCTAGCTGACATAACTGTAACTGATGAGAGATCTCAGCTGGAGCTACCACCTGACATCATTACCATTTTCATAGGACCGAGTGGGAGTTCAGCAGGTAAAAGTGCTTGCTGCACAAGGCTAGCAACCCGAGTTCAATTCCTGGCACCCACATGAATGTGGAAGAAGAGAACTCACCCCACGAAGCTGTCCTCTGGCCTCCATACATGTGCTGAAAATGCGCACGCCCCCACACATCCACAATTTAAAATAACGTTTACAAAAGTACCAAGGATTTCAGTATGTGATGTATCACAACCAAAAACAACTTGCAGAGAACCAGATTCAGGTCTCCCAGACATTAGCCTTGTGCTTTTTCAATCTTAGTGTAAAGAGTGTCGTATGGACCAGTGGTGACTGGGTAAATATGTACAAACAGCAATGGGCTTCCTTTGAGGACTAGCACATTTCGCTGCTCATAAGTCAGACACAACACTGTGTACATCTTGGCCACTCAGAGCGGTGATGACTCACTGGAGAGGGATGTGTAGAGCGCGAAGGTTTTGAGGCTGGAGAGTTCCTTCATTCTTGTCTCCTTCACACTTTTGCAGAAAATGTGCTCCCAGGCATAGAGCTTAAGGAGCTTGATGCCTTTCAGTATCTCATTGGTCTTTTTCAGCCTCTCGGTGGAATAATCCTATAAGACAAAGGAAGAAACTTTGGTGCAAGATGCAGCCAATTACACTAAGTGGGCGGGACCCAGAGATGTTCAGGCCCTTGGGAGGCCCTGGTTCTGAGTAGCTCTCCAGCTAATCACACCAGAAAGTCCCAGGCTTTGTTCAGTCCCGTGCCACAATCTCTGCTCCATTCATTCTGACATTGAAGTATTGGATTTTGTCGTGGAGTCCTCATCCAAATGTGTCATACTGTGTTCCTGTTTGTTCCCCTCCTTATGTCCCCTCTCCCCTGCAAACAGATCCCATTCCTCTCCCAACCAATCCCACTTTCTGCTTTCTTACCACATGTATTTCACTGCCCTCTCTACCTTCTCTCCTATAAAATACCCTCCTCTCCTGATAGAATTCCCTAGTATTATGACACACACATAAATGCATATATACACATATGCATGCATACATGCATATGCACATACATACACATGCACACACATTCACACATACACATTGATACATTGCACATGTGCACACACAAGCATACATAGATACATTACACATGCACCTGCATAAGCACATACATACACACATACATACAGTCACATATATATATA